TGAAGATCTCAAGGAGGGTTAGCAACAGGGGAGTGGGAGGAGGAGACGGGGGGAGAAGGTACAGAAAACAAGTAGCATAGACAGTAGATAGAAAATAGATGGGGGGGGGCAAGAATAGTATGGGAAATACAGAATCTAAAGGACTTGAGACACATGGACATAAACTAAAGGGGGGTAATGGTGGGGTTGGGGGGGCAGGGTGGAGGGGAATGAAGGGGGGAATAGAACAACTGTAACAGCATAATCAATTCAAAAATAAATAAATAAATTTATTTTTAAAAAAAAAGGGAAAAGTGGTTGAACTGGTTACACTCATCCTTGGGAGGTTTAGCATACATTTTAGGAAGTTTCTTTAAAGATACACAGTAAACATTTGTTGTCTCAATTCAGGGTGAGGGAGTTATAGCAAAAGCAAGCCTCATAGCAGCCAATGTACAATACAGACCTGATTCCCCACTAGAGAACCTATCTGTGGGCGTGGGTCCTATGTGCTGGACCTCGCTCCCCACTGGCCTTTCCGACTGGGGGCTGGGCTACATTTTCCATGCCTCAAGGAGCAGTTCCCTGTAGGTGGGCAGTGGTGCCTGGCTATTCTCTTCAGATAATCACAGCAACAGAAGTTAATTCGGAGTTTCAACATACACTCAGGAATGTAAGCAGTCCTTTGTTGGTTTTGCACTGCAGTTGTTAACTGATTAACCTCTGTGTCTCTTCCCCCATCCTTCTGCCCACTGTACTTAATTTAGGACATCTCAGAATTTTTTCCTTGTCACTATAAAACGAGCCTGTACTAGATGAGCAGTCCCCAAACCTGAGTGACAATCATGGTCATCCCAGGAGTGTCTAAAAACCATTGTCATGCACACCAATGGGCCCTGCCCCAGATTCACTCAATCCCATCCCCAGTGCAGAGCCCGGGGCTCTTAAAAAGCTTCCTCGGGTGATGTTTAGCCTCAGAGCCACTGAAGTAAGTGATAATCAGGGTCTCTGCCCTTCCTGAAGTGCCTCTGTTCCACTTCTCTGCACTGTTTTTAGCGGTTTTAAAGCATAATCCGTGCTTTATCTGTAACATATGCTCTGCTTAGTGCCGCCTTCTCAGGACGGGAACTTTGTTGCTTTTTTCTGTAGCGTCCCCCATTTCCCCCAGTGTTCACTAGCAACACCCCGCACACCTGGTGCACAGCAGGAGATGGTGAATGTCTAATGAATGAGTTCCCCTCTCCCTTTTCTGAACTGAAACCTTGCCCTGCCTTCGGATCCGACTTCTGCAACATTAAGTGCTCCCCCAGGAGGAAGTGCTGCCCATTCATTTTCACCCTCACACATCTCAGGAGCCGACCTGTTCCCAGGGCCCAGTTGCTCAGTTTCTCACCTAATTAACACTTGTTTTATGTTGGCCGCTGTTTCATTTGTCTTAAGTTTTGTCTCTCCCACTAGAATCTGGGTTTCTTAAGTATAGCAAACATATTTTAATACTTATTTCTTCTTTTCCCCTTAATTCTAAGCTCAGAGTAGAAATTTCAGTCCTTATGAGTCGCTAACAAAGGCTTCTGTGTTCCAGGCACACTGTCCTCCTGGCTTCTCCTCAGCCATGCCGGGTGTGCGTCTGCCTGAGGGTCTTTGCTGGAAGTTTTCCCCTTAATGGTCATGGCTTTTTCCATTCCCCTCTTCAAAACTTGGCCAGCTCAGTTGGCTGGGCATCCTCCCACAAACTAATAGGGCACAGGTTCAGTTACCAGGCAGGGCTCGTGCCGGGGTTGCTGGTTCAGTCCCCAGATGGGGCAGTGTTTCTCTCTTCCTCTTTCTCCCTCCCTCCCCCTCTCTCTGGATTTAATAAAAGAAAAACATTTTAATAAAAATAAATTTGAAAAAAAGACTTTGCTGAGATACTAAATAGTATCCTCTCTGTGAGTCTTTTGAGGACCACTGCTCGAGCATCCTAGCACTTCTCCCTCTTCTCCAGAGTGTTATCGTCTTGTACCATACTACATAACATTGACTTTGCCTCCCCGGATGGCTTGGTTGCTTGGAGCATTGTCCCATGCACCAAAAGATTGCAGGTTCGATCCTTGGTCCCTTAGTCAGTGTGTGTAGGCAAGGCAAGTGATCAGTGTTTCTGTCTCACATCAATGACTCATTCATTTTCTTTCTCTCTCTCTCTCTCTCTCTCTATCTCTCTAGCTCCCTCACTCCCCCGTCCCACCCCCTAAAGTCAATGAACATAGCCTCGGGTAATTCTTTATGAAAACAGGTTTGGTTTTTTTTTGTTTGTTTAACACAAACCCTCTTTAGGCTTGTTTCTTTTTTTCTTAGAGATTTTATTTATTTTTAGAGAGAGAGGAAGGGAGGGAGACAGAGAGGGAGAGAAACATCAGTGTGTGGTGGCCTCTCACACAGCCCCCACTGGGGACCTGGCCTGCAACCCAGGCATGTGTCCTGACTGGGAATCGAACAAGTGACCCAGTAGTTCACAGGCCAGCATTCAATCTGCTGAGCCAAACTAGCCAGGGCAGATGCCCATAATTTTGTTTGATTCAATACCATATCTTTAAGTACCTAGAACAATGTCTGACACAGTATAAGCTTTCAATAAATATTTGTAAAAAAAAAACAATAAATTGTGATTAGTTCAGTTGCATATGTATCATGGCTGAGCTTCCTTGCCCAAATTTATAGTCCCTCAGAGACTTCTGAGAACCTCTACAATCTAGCAGTCATACTCTGCCACTGTCTACAAGATTCTGTTGACTATGACTTTAAACTTGTCTACCCCTGTTTTGGACTGATTGTTTGCAATAACCTCTGTGGTCAGTTGAGGAGTCAGGCAGAAAACCAAGGTGCAGAGAACCAGCATTCCTGTACCAGACTGACCTGCTGGCGCATTTTCTAGCTTTCTAGCTCCGTGACTCTAACAAGTTAGGTCTCAGGGCCCCAGTTTCATCAGCAGATACAATAATGCTACCTTAGTACGGTACATTTGAGGATTAATTAAGATGTAAAATGCTAGGACCACAGTAAATGTTAATTCCTTTCTCTATGACTAAGTATCAAATGAGCAAGTTTTCTCCCTTTTGAAATGTCCCTTGGTAAAGTGAGAAAATTAGTTCATGCTGTAACTTGAAGTAAGGGGAGGTCTAATTTGCTTCAAAGCAGTGTATTAAATGTTTGTTCTTAAAAGGTTTTGTTAATGTTTTTATAATTTCTCCATAAACATCTTATGATAGTAACAGCAATTATTTTGCTATTTCCATATGTATATTCTCCTTTGCTTCTACACTCTGCTTGTATGATCTCATCTACCCACAGCTTATATAATTCCTCAGGCCCAGGAATCACCCGCAACTTTTTACTTTCTTCTTTCCCACCAAGCCTAATCACCGCTCAGTTCCTGCTCATGGTACCTCCTTGTTGTTTTTCATTCAGTTCCCTGTCGTCTGTCTATCCCAGTTGCCTCTGCCGCAGTCAAGGCCTGAAGTCACAGACTGCTCTCCTCCCACCGTCTAGACCTTTCCAGTGCAGTCCCCACTCAAGAGACAAAATTACCTTTTTGTTACATTCCTCTGGTTAAAGCCTGTGGGAAAAAAATGACCACACCAATGAGAACAAACAGGCTGTTTATTCAAAGCTTGTCCTTAGAAAGAGTGTCAGCCAGGTTTACTTGCATTTGGCAGAGACAGGCAGGGAAGTTTCGTAGTGAAAAAGGGGAAGGCTTCTAGTTTGCTCCGGTAGTTGCCCTGGGGAAGCTAGAGGTGAGCCAGCCAGAAGCAGGACATTCTATATGATAGAATAGGGAAGCATATTTGGCTTTTTCTGGGTCCTGATTGGCAAATGAGGGGGCAAAAAATAGGCAATATGGCATGAACCAAATCCTGACTTTTCTGAGCCAAATGCTGCAGAAACTGTGGTTTGGCACCCCAGGTTGGTTGCTGCAGAGGCTGTGGGCCATAGTTCTACTGTCATGTAGCCTGGCCATTGTCTGTTCTCATGTCCAGTCCCTCACACCATTCAAGAGCTTCTGAAGATCCTTCACATAGCATACAAGGCCTTTTGTAAAATGGTGGTGTTAATAATAGTACCTACCTCATAGAATTTAATGAGTAAATACATGGAAAGTGCTTATAACTGTACCTGGAAGCAGATGTAATGTATACACTCTGTGGGAGCACAGAGGAGGGACATTTGTTCTATCCTTTTTCATTCCTTGGGGAGGTGACACTGAGCTGTGTCACGAAGGACCGACATGCGGGGGTTAACCAAGGAGTGGAAGAGGACTGTAACAACATGAATGGAAATAGAGGAGTGGGTGAGGGGCATTCATGGAGAGCCATTGACTGGCTTTGTTCGGATTTCAGTGTTATTGACCTTACCACAAGGTAGAGGGTGATGTTGAAAAGTAGGGGAGTAGGTGGGGGCAGGGAGAAGGCAAGAAAGCAACTGGGCAAAGGTGAGAATTGAACAAATCAGTAAGATGGAATGGACTCAAGAAACATGTAAGGTGTAAAATGTATAGAAATCGGAGGTTCCTGTTTTGCAAGGTGGACGACTAAGAATGCTGATACCAACTGAGAGGGGATACTTAGTTCAGGAAGGCGACCTCTGCCTGTAGTTGAGAAGTCAGCCCTGCGTACACCTGCGCAGGTGAACTCACTGTGATGTGTAGGCATGAGATGTGTCATGTGTATGAAGAGGATAGCTTTTTTTCCCCAAAGCATGGAAGTGCTATTATTCCAGATGCTCTCTTGGGCCTTTTGGGACCAGTGAAATTTAAAGATATTAACATTATAAAATAATGCTAGAATTCAAGAGAGTTTTTTTTTTAATTCCAAAATTTATTTACTCCAATAAAGGCTCATCTGCTTGTCATTCTCCCCTCACTATCCTTTTGTCATAAGATAGTTTTAAATTGCCAAGGGATAAAGAATATCATATTAAAATCATGTGCTTGATGTAATTGCTTGATTTGTCATTATTTAGAATACTAAGAGCGGTATGTTTTTCAGGGTGCTTTAAAGCCTACGGACCTAAATCGTATCATCAAACTGCTTGAAGAGACCGGCAAAGTAAGCTTTGAGAGAAAATTTCTCTGCTATGTCACTTATAAACTGTGATTGCCTGTAAAGGTCACATGCATTGTCCCCCAATAAGTCTCAGTTCTCTCCTCTTGAAAATATTTTAAGTAGTATCTGTTTTATATTCAAGGACTGTTTAGATTTAGCGTGAACATATTTAACCCGGCAGGGAGGGTGGAAGAGGGGAGTAGATTTAGGCTTGTGAGATGGACAAATCCATGGCGGGTAGAAGCCGAAGGAGCCCATCTGGCCTCTGTGTTTGCTTGTTCAAGTACGATGTTGGGGGAGAGGGCAGAAGTGTCTTGATGTCCTGCTTGAGTTGTTCTGACATGAAAAAAGGATATATATATATATATATATATACACTCATAGTTACTCATACGGTATTTTGAGAGAATTCTCATATAGAATGTAATGAAAACAAAATTATTGTAGATTGAGTCTCCAAATTAAAAGTCCGAGCATCGGGAAAAAGGAAGATAAATGCACGTGCACGTACGCGCGCACACCGCAGCCCTGCCGCCACCCAGGGACTGACTGAGAGCCTGAACGCGGCACACCCCCTGGAGCTTCCACTGGACGACGGACGTGCGTTTACTGAGTGGGGTGCCGTGGGCAGTGGTAGAGCTGATCAGAACAAAACAGAACAAAACGGTGTCCTGTGGTTAGCAGGCACAAAATTTTAGTCATTGTCTTAACCTTTTTTTTTCTCATCTCTGCATTTTTACATAGAAAGAAGGAAACACATAAAAGTAATAACTATAAGAATTTATCTTCTTCCGGCTGTGTTTTTTATGAAAGTTATTTCTAATTGTGCATATATGTGCATTTTTATAAAAAGAAAACTCGACTACATAGAGCCCCTACTAGTTGTTAGTAAGGATAGGGAAAAAAGGTGTAGAAAGTGCCGCAGCGTCTTAGGAACTATTTAAGATTAAAAGGACTGAAGTGATGCGGTCATGAAAAGATGTCAGTGTATAGTTTTGTTCTCTTTTAACTGGCTGAGGCTGTTTGGTTTGCACCAGTGCCCTGGGCATATTTTAGAGATTAAAAATATGGTTTGTGGAGTCAGGTTGCCAAATTTGACTCCTAACACCACCACTCACTATCTGTCTGATTTTGAACAAATTACTTAGTGTTTCAGCTTGAGGTTCTTATTTTGGAAAACAGGGATGATAACAGTACTTTTCTAATAGGGTTGTTTTGGGGCGTGATATGTACCTATGGTACCTAACTGGTGTGTGGCGTAGAGAACCGCTCAGCATCCTTCAGCTGCTGCTAATATTATTTCTGGAAACAATTACTGCTCTTATGTTAATCTAGTTTTAATTTTCAGTTTCCTAACCACATTTGAATGGTAGTTTATTTTTACCTTCACTGTTTCAGGAAACATTTTATAATTTGATAATTTTAATGTCTACTTTCTTTTTATATTAATGAAAACTTTAAAAATCTCAACACTAGCACAGAAAAACTAAAACAGATCATTTGTTTTAGGATGATTTAGAAGAAAAACAAGTTAAATGTGTCAAGAAACTGGTGCAATATTATCAGAATGGATTTGTATCCTTTACCCCCTGACATGGGAGAATTTTTATTAGAAAATGTGTTTGTTTCCTATTGCTGCTGTAACAAGGTACCACAGGGCACCTTAAAACAACCTAAGTTTTTGCTTCATGGTCTGGAGGTCAGATTCCACAATCAGCCTCACTGGGCTCAAGTTAAGGTGTTAGCCTTCCTTTTGAAGGCTCTACAGGACTGTCCACTGCCTTGCCTCTCCCGCCTCTTCGGCCTGTGCTCCTTGGCTCCCAGCCCCTCCCTCAGAGTCATCACCCCCACCTCTGCCTCTGTGGCCACGTTGCCTTGTTTCCTCCCGGGTGCTCTCCTGCCTGTCTCTTTTCCTTGTAAGGACCCTGTGATTACTTGGGCCCTACCTGGATAATCTAGGATAACTTTCCCATTTTAAGGTTTTTCACTTAATTACTGAAAAGTCCCTTTGCCTTGTAAGGTAACATTCACCAGTTCTGGGGAAGAGGTTGCAGGCATCTTTGGGCATGCCGTTATTCTGTCTACCACAGCAAATATTTAACATTTTTTGTTTTTTTATAAAACTATGTTTTTTGTTTATCAGAAAATATAAAATTGAAGAAAACCCTTCAGTGCAGTTAACCCTGTACAGATAATCCCAGTGCTATAAACTCAAAGAGACCGTGGCTATAGGTAGGACCGCCAGGTCTGTTGTTTCCACCATTTACCTCCGTTTTAGACTGTCCATAAGCTTCTCCACTTCTCTGCCCTTATAAAATGGGGACAACAGCACCTCGTGGAGTCGTTAAGGAGGACTAGATGAGAGATAATGTATACGCAAGTGCTCAATAATCTGTAAAATATTACATAAATATATTATCCCTAGAAAACACACCACTCAGACCAGAACATGGGGAGACTTAGGTGTCTCAGAACTGTGGCACTTAAGAACCAGATTGTTGTTGGGTGGCTATGTTGTTGTTCTAGCCTTTGTATATCTGTGCTACTGTAAAATGCAATAAAACTGCCACAGGAGACCATCACTTTCTGTAGTCATCTTGCCACAGACTGGTAACATACAATACTGTGAGTTGCATAGGCAGGGAAATGTGCCTTGTGATTTTAACTGTTTTCTTGCCTTACTTTAGCCTTGTTTTATATGAATTTGTTGAGTCAGTCAGGTACCTGAGGGTTTGTGGATATCAAGAACTATTCACCGATAGCCAAGAAAGTCTGCTAGCAAGTGATTTCTTTCCCTCCTTTGATCATCACTTTTTCTCTTTGGGTTGAAGAACAGGCAGTGACTGTTTCTGAATGTCTTTAGTGGGCTGGCTTTAGAGGTCATGAAACTTAAAGCAAGCAAGCATTTGTTAGAAAAGTATCTTGGTCATTTCTCTAGGAATTGAACAGAGGTTTGTATTTCTGACATACCCAGCTCTCCCATCTTTTCCTAAGAAGCTCCTACAAAGAGACTAGAAGTGATAGGACTCAACCAAGAAGTACAAGTCACAGCTCTCATTGTTCCCTTGGCTGTAAGACAAAATATACAAAATTTATTTATGTACCAACTGGGTTCTTTAAATAGGTAAAATTAAAAAGGTGCTTTTACCTGCACACCTACTGGTGGTACATTTTGCTTTCATACTAGTTTTAAATGAAATAAAATCTCAATCACTTTAAACCTTAAAAATGAGAAAATGAATCTGAGTAATATTAATAAAATGACTAAGAAAAAATAAGGTAGGTTTGGGTTGCTTATTCCAGAACAGTTGGTGTTTTGCAGGAGTGGGTGGATATGAAGGATAAGATTGAGCTATTAAGTTAATTTTTTCAGTGTGGTATTATTACTCATTGCCAGTTGTAAGTTATTGATCAACTGACTCTGTGGTATACTAGTTGATAATCAAATTCTAAAGGTGTTGTGAGAGGAGAAAAAAATATTTTGAGTAAGAGGTTACTAAGACAAAAATTAAATAATATTTCTTTAAAAATACAGTTCTAACTTTTCCCTGTTAGTCTTCAAAATTAGTATAATTAAAATAGTGTAAACCGCATCTAACAAAATAGGAGTTCTATAGATTTTCCTGGCATAAGTGCTATAAAGAATATGTTAATAATGGAGAGGAATGGGGAGAAAATGCAGACAACTATAACTGAACAACAATGAAGTAATTAAAAATATGTTAATAAAAATATTACTAATTTTATTTCTTAACTAAAAATATTGAAGCCCCTAAGGGATATAGCACAGATATTTACAATTCTGAATCTGTGTGCAGGAAAAATTGAAAACCAGCCCTGTTTTATGGAACCTGCATATGATATTATAAAATTATGTCGGTAAGTTGTTTTTTTTTTAACTTTATTTTATATTAGCATGCAGTACTTTATTACATTTTATTTTGTATTACGAAGATATTATGTATATGGCAAAGCAAAGTGATGCAGAAACTTCACTTGATCACTTGATTCCAGCAGCTGTATTTCAAAGGCAGTCAGTGTTACTGTGATCTGAGGTCACTAGTCACAAGAGACTACACTGTAAGTACATTAAAGTGTTTTTTCATAATAAGTTGCTCTCACAGTAATGGTAAATATGAGATGAAACCAAACATTATAATTTTTTGAGAAAATTATATGGATAATACTTAATAGTTTCAGTCCAGTTTTTTTCTCTCTTTAGAAAATTTGACTCTCAAAGATGTATTATGTCCTGATTCATGTTTATTTGATTTCCCAAATTTGAATGAGGATAAAATGTCAACAACTATTTTTGATGTATGTTTTTTAATGTTAGAGGTCAGCATAATAAAACTAATACGTGCCCTACCCCCTACCGTCTGCACTGTCGTTTCCTCCAGCCCTTCGAGGGGACTGGGAATGTCTCTGCTTCCCTGCTGCCACACAGTGGCTAATCAATATACAAAATAGAAATAAACCTTCCTGACAATTCAGCCTCCTAAAACCCTTCTACTAATTTAGCTTTTTAAATATTGTTCCTTTTAACATGCAAATAATATTGGTAAAACTGTATATGTAGTAGATTTTAACTAACACTTTTAAATTTGGCAGTAATAATATTGAAAATTTTGTAATTATATGCTTCTGGTATTGTAACAAAACAGTCAAAAATAATTTAACGAATGCCTTTACCATGCCCTTCTTTTTTTTTTTTTTTTTTTTGAGATTTTTATTTATTTATTTTTAGAAAGAAGGGAAGGAAGGGAGAAAGAAAGCAAGAAGAAACATCAATGTGTGGTTGCCTCTTGTGCACCCCCTACTGGGGACCTGGCCTGCAACCCAGGCATGTGTCCTGACTGGGAATCGAACTAGCAACCCTTTGCTTCACAGTCTGTTGCTCAGTCCATTGAGCCACACCAGCCAGGGCTCATGCCTTACCTTTTAATAGAGACCATGAAAAATAAAGACATAAATGATTGCTGTGGTGTAAATTCATAAATGAATTTATACATTCAAGAAACTTGAATGTATAAATTGGAAATTATTATATTATGTGAAATAATATAACATTTTCAAATTCTGAGGCTGTGCAAGAACACCAGGTTTTCAAGTATGACTTTCACCATCAATGCTCCTTCAGAGCTCCATCAAGAACTGGTTCTCTCTGAAAGCTGTGACTGTTTCACCACTAATATGAAAAATCTTTCGAATTACATTCTTTCCTTCCCCTCATATTATATAATTATTCATAATAGTTCATTTTTTCTACTTCCCTAATTTCTGCTTTTTTTCTGCATTTCTCCATGTCTCACATTCACTTGATTCCCTTTTGAAGACATTTTTAGTAGATAAAAACATTGAAAATAAAAAATAAAGCCTTCCCTGGCTGGTGTAGCTCAGTGGATTGAGCGCGGGCCTGGGAACCAGACAATCGCGGTTCGATTCCCAGTCGGGGCACATACCGGGGTTGCAGGCCGGTTCCCTGCAGGCCAGTTCCCAGCAGGGGACGCACAAAGGGCGACCATACATTGATGTTTCTCTCCCTCTCTCCTTCCCTTCCCCTCTGAAGATAAATAAATAAAATATTTTTTAAAAAATAAATAAATAAAGCCTTTTTGTTTCAGCCTATCAATAGTATGCTTCTCTCACTGCATCAGAAGTAAAATGCTCATTTTTTTTCATAAGTTTTTGGGAAAAACTCTTCTGATACTTTATCTTTTAGGTTATTCCTTTTGATAATGAAAGAAAAAGTTTGAGGACAAGTAGAACTAGTTTTTAGAGTTTTAACAGTGAGCTGGATAATAAGTTATTTGTTTCAAATGAAGAATTCTAACAAACACTTGGAATGAACCTCTGTGGCATTTATAAAGTTGTAATTTTCATAGTTTGCCCTTGAAATAACTTTCAGTTCCAAATGGTTGATAGTCTGTCCAGAAGGTATCCAGCCATGTAATATAAAAAAATAGAGACATTTACTGAAAAAGATACAAGAAACATTATACACAGGACAATGACACCTCAGTCCCCTTCAAAGTAGGCCCCTTGGGACCTCACACAGTTCTCCCAGTCTCCATCAGCTGCCCCATTGTATTTTCCTGAATCTCATCAATGGTCTGAAATCTCTTCCCTTTCAAAGGGGACTTTAGTTTGGGGGAAAGCCAGAAGTTCAGGGCACCAAATCTGGGCTGTAGGGAGGCTGAGTCACCTGGGTGATTTGATGTTTCATCAAAAGTTTTGCACAAGACACATAAGCAGGTGAGTTGTGATGAAGCTGCTAATCACTTAGCTGTGACTTTTGGAATCGTGACTTTTGGAATCATCTGAATACTTTCTGCATAGAAAGTTCAGGCTTTACAGCAAAATTTGATGCAGATTCATTTCTCTACACACAAGCCATTTTGAATTCAATAGCCACACACTGCACATGCTCACTCAATGGTGTCCACCACCCCCAATGACTAGTACAGTGAAGTCGTCGTCATCCTTCACACATGTGCATTCCAGTCCACTCTCCTTGGCCACCAGGTTATGTCGACGTGGTGTAACCCATTCTTCCCACCCATTCTTGTTATATTAACAATGGCTGGACTTTTTCTGGACAGACTATATGTACAAAAATAAATATAAAATCTCCACATGTGTTCTAAATAGTGATTTTAATCACTTGGTTAATTTTTCTTGAAAAACATTAACTAAAAGTCCTCTGTTGAGCACGTACGTGCCTGTGAACTAAAGGATAATGGTTCGATTCCCAGTCAGGGCACATGCCTGGGTTGCAGGCCAATTCCCAGCAGGGGGCGCACAAGAGGCATACATTGATATTTCTCTCCCTCTCTTCTTCCCTTCCCTTCTAAAGATAAATAAATAAAAATCTTTAAAAAAATAAATTTATTTTCTTTAAAAAGTCCTCTGTATAGGATATATTATATCTTCAATAAATAGTATAGAAGCCTCAAATTTTAAGCTCATGAAATGCCAAAATATTTTACTGTATATACAGTTAAGAACTATTTATTGTATATAGTTAAGAACTTTTATCTTTCCTTTGACATTTAGACTAAGGACCTAGGTTCGAGTGCCTTATCTTTTATTATTTTATTACTATTTGTAAGTAAATTATTTTCAAATAACTTTGGTTATAGTAACTGTGAAATGTGACTCTAATATAATTAATATTTCTTAACTTTAATTTCTTAGTGTCTCAAAAAAGTGTATCTGTTATTTTGTGGACAATAACTAATCCAGTTAATAAGGGAAAAGTCACTTCAATTTAAGAACAAATAGGCCATTGATATATTAACTAGAGTATCAAAAATTTCAGAAGAATCCCTTGAACGGCTTTTACGTTATAGGTAAGCCTAGATCTGTGATTTGTATTAGAGTATCCAATGTCCTCCTAATTTTGGTAGAACTACACCTATATTCCCTTATTTCGCCTTCAGAGAGAAAAAGGATTTTTAAGTTTTTTATTTATACAGTGTTGCAAGATGGCTTTCTTAACCCTTGCTTATGTCCATCTCTCTTCATTTTTATAAGCTTATTTTATTTTGGTTTTTTGGTCAGCTACATAGAAACACAAAAATGTTTTTGATAGTTTTCAATTCCCCACGGCTAAAGAACAGAACACTATTCTCATTTTATTCTTTAGAGAATAAAATTTTTCGTACTTTGCAAATGATGCTTTGATTAAGGACTTTGTGAGACCTAACTTGTACATTCTTTATTCTTATCGAAGCTTGCCATTTTTGAAAAAGAAAGCATCAGATGAAATAACATATGCTGAAGATACTGCTAATTCAATTGCACTTCTGGGTAAGTTGAGATTTTCTTTTTTAAATATTTTATTTATTTATTTTTAGAGAGGGGATGGGAAGGAGAAACAGAGGGAGAGAAACATCAATGTGTGGTTGCCCCTCATGCGTCCCCTACTGGGGACCTGCCCTGCAACCCAGGCATGTGCCCTGACTGGGAATCGAACCAGTGACCCTTTGCATCACAGGCTCGTGCTCAATTCACTGAGCTACACCAGCCAGGGCGAGATTTTCTTACCATGGAATATTGTAACATAACAGGTCTGATTAACAAGACAAAAATGTCTCTCTCACTGTTTTACTAAGATCTAGTCTCTTTTCTTGTTTTCTGGTTGGGAATTAATCATAGTGAGCTTGGTGATAATTTTTGTATTGTTTTACTCTCCAGTGTTGTGTAATACCACCAACATTCTGTGTTCCTTAATATGATTGGTGATGCTTCTGTGCACTTACTTTTCTTCAGGTTACTTAGTTGATAAAGTATTTGTTACCTTTTTTTGTAAATTAGACATATGTGTCTCTCCCAATAATCATAAAATATTTTCAACTTTGAACTCTAATGCTATAATCGTAGAGAGCCAAATTGTTCAATAAATAACCTATTATTTAAAATAAAATCATAAAATGGTGGAATATTAACAACTGGAGCATAATATAACATAAAGATGAAGATGCTTGTATTTTGTATTCAAACTATGAAAAAATATAAAACAGCAGGCTTTTGCATTTTGGTTATTGCTTGACATTCTAGAGAGAGAAAATAACTTTCCAGGAAATGAGATCAAACACTAGCTCCTTGAATCAGCCCTTAAATACATGAGAGCATGTTCCCAAAACAAATCCTACATTACATTTTACTTATTAATTTAGATCTTTGTTTGTATAAAAGAACTAAAAGATACAGAATTAGCCCAACAAATAAAAAATAACAATTTGCTGAATTGTTATGTCCCCAGTATTATATTCCATACTGAAAGATTTTAGATACTCAACCGGAATAAGTAAAAAGCATTTAAAATTTTTTTTATCCTCACCCAAGGACTTTTTTTCCATTGTTTTACTAAGAGAGGAGGGAAGAGAGAAAAACATCAGTGTAAGAAAGAAGCATCTATTGGTTGCTTCCCATATGCCTTTGGAACAGGGATCATACATGCCTGACCAGGGATGGAACCCACAACCTAGGTATGTGCCCTGATGGGGAATTCAACCTGCAACCTTTCAGTTACAGGACAATGCTCCAACTAACTGAGCCACACTGGCCAGGGCCAAAAATATTTTTAATTTTTAACATAGACTCTGACCCTTTTGTATCTAAATACATTTCATATACCTTAACTGTAGATAACAGGAAAAACTGTTATTGCCTAGAATAGGTGAGGGTATTAAGGAAATTAGAATACACATGGGAAGATGGATATGATGACCTTAAGGAGCAAGTAGGATAAAAACTAAGGGGAAACTTAAATTGTGTGAATCTCTGTCATCAGTACAAATTTACAATGGGAAGCCAACGGAAAGAAGACATGGTATAACATATAACAAATGTAGGTTTGGTTGATAACATTTTTAAATGCCTCTGTTCCCCTTATTATTTTAAACTGTTGCCTCCAAGACGGTTGGCAGACATTTGTTTGACAAACACAGGGCCCATTTCTTACTACGTAGATCGCTCTTTGCTGAGTGACTGCCTGCCTACAGAACACAGTACTGTGTCACTGGAGGGCCGTGGACTCTCAGTCTAATCAAACTCTCTTCACTGGTTGCTGACCTCAAGCACTGCCGTTCTGTCCCTAATCTTTTCATTGCTGGAAACACGAGTTAAGCTAAAATAATTTTAGATAGTATAAACTGTTGAACAAAGGCTATTTATTTTTACTAACAACTTCCAGTTTATATTATGTACTAGTAAATTACATTACTTTTTCTTATAAAATGACAGATAACTCTGATTCAAGAGCAGGATTCCAGGAACATGAAGAACTTGGTACTCTGCCCTGAAATTATCTAAATTTACAGGCACTAAAAGAGTAAAGAACCAGATGAGAAACCTTAGAATTTCCCATAAACTTGAACATTTGGTTAGTTTTGTTGGAAAAGTTTAGTTCTTCCTCTTGCCTACAGTTTTTTCAACATGATTTTTGCAATTTCAAAGGAAGAGTCCCAAAAAATAAAACTAAGAAAATAATCTTTAAACTGTCTTTTTTCTTTTCTTTTTTTTATTTTTGAAAAAAATTATTGTTTACACTATTGCTAATGTCCCATATTTTCTCCCTTCTCCCCCCTCCACCCAGCCCGCCCGCACTTCCATAGTCCCCACACCATTGTCCATGTCCATGGGTCTTCCATGTATGTTCTTTGACTGATGTCTTTACCTTCTTTCAATCAGTCCCCACCTCCCCTCTCCCTTCTTACAGCTGTCAGTCTTTTCATGTTAGATATGATCATGTGATTTTTGACTTTCATTTTGTTTTTGTGATCTATCACATTTATTGATTTTTGAATATTGTATCATTCTTGCATCACTGGAATAAATCTCACTTGATCATGAAGTATGGTCTTTTTAATATGTTGCTGGATGCAGTTTGCTATTTGTTGAGGATTTTAGCATCTAAGTTCATCAGAGATACTGGTCTGTAATCTTCTTTCTTTGTTGTGTCTTTACCTGGTTTTGGGATTAGGATGATACTGGCCTCATAAAAAGAGTTTAGAAGTCTTTCCTCTTTTTGAATTTTTGGTGTAGTTTGAGGACAGGTATTAATTCTTCTTTGAATGATTGCTAAAATTCGCCTGCGAAGCCATCTGGTCCAGGGCTTTTGTGTGCCAGGAGTTTTTTGATTATTGCTTCAGTTCTCTAGTTGTTATTGGTCTATTTAGGTTTTCTGCCTCTTCCTGATTCAGTTTTGGAAGAATATATGTTTCTAGAAATTTATTCACTTTACCCAGGTTGTCCAATTTTCTGGTATGTAGTTGTTCAGAGCAATTTCCTACAATCTTTTGTATTTCGATGGTATCAGTTGTAATGTCTCCTTTTCATTTCTGATTTTATCTAGGTCCTCTCTCTTTTTATCTTGATGATTCTGGTTAATGGTTTGTCAATCTTTTCAAAGAACCAGCTCCTGGATTCATTGATCCTTTGAATTTTTTTTTTTTTTAGTCTCTATGTCATTTAATTCTGCTCTATCCTTGATTATTTTCTTCCTTGTACTCTAGGATTTGTTTGTTTTTGATCCTTCAGATCTTGTAGAGGTAGGGTTAGGTCATTTATTTGACATTTTGCTGTCTTATTTTTTTTAATTTATTTTATTTTTGACAGAGGGGAAGGGAAGAAGAGAAGGACAGGAACATCCATGTGTGGTTGCCTCTCACATGCCCCCTACTGGGGACCTGGTCCACAACCCAGGCATGTTTCCTGACTGGCAGTCGAACTAGTGACCTTTTGGTTCTCAGGTTGATGCTTAATCCACTGAGCCACACCAGCCAGGGCTATTTGAGATTTTTCTGTCTTCTTTAGGGAGGCCCGTATTGCTGTGAACTTCCCTGCCTTTGCTGTGTCCCTTAGGTTTGGGGTTGTTGTGTGTTTATTTTCATTTGTTTCCAGATACTTTCTGATTTCTTCCGTGATCTCATTGTTAATCTGTTCATTATTTAATAACATGTTATTCAGCTTCCATGTATTTGAGTGTTTTTGGATTTTTTCCTCGAGGTGGTTTCTAGTTTCAAGCTGTTGTGATCTGCAAAAATGCTTGATATGATTTCACTGTTCTTGAATTTGTTGAGGCTTGTTTTGTGTCCTACCATGTGGTCTGTCATTGCAAATGATCCATATGCATTGAGAAAAATGTATATTTTGCTTCTTTGGGGTGAAATATTCTGTAAATATCAGTTAAGTCCATTGATCTAGATTGGCGTTCAATACCACAATATCCTTATTGATTTTTTGTTTGGAAAATCTATCCATTGTTGACAGTGGGGTGTTAAAATACCCTACAATGACTGTATTGCTGTGAATCTCTTTCTTAATGTCCTCCAAGATTTTCTTTATATATTTAGGTGCTCCTTTACTGGGTGCATGTATGTTTACAAGAGTTATATCCTATTGTTGGGCTACTTCCTTTAGTATTATGTAGTGACCTTCCTTGTCTCTTGTTATGCCCTTTGTTTTGAAGTCTTTTTTGTCTGATGTAAGTATCACTACCCCAGCTTATTTTTCACGTCTATACGCATGAAATATTTTTTCCATTCCTTCACTTTTAGTCTGTGTAGATCTTTTGTTCTGAGGTGGGTCCATTGTAGATAGTATATAGACAGTCATATTTTCTCATACATTTAGCTACTTTATGTCTTTTGATTGGAGCATTTAATCTATTTACATTTAAGGTTATTATTGGTAGGTACTTATTCATTGTCATTTTTCCCTTTGTACCTGTGTTCCTGTTTCCCTCTATTTCTTCTTCTTCTTAAAACAGTCCCTTTAGTATCTCATGCAATGCTGGCTTGGTGAAGTTGTACTCTTTTAGCCTTCTTTAGTTGGGGAAATTCTTTATTTTGCCTTCTATTTTAAATGAGAGCCTTGCTGAATGCAGTAGTCTTGGTTGCATATCCTTGCTTTTCATTACTTTGAATATTTCATCCAATCCCTTCTGCCTTATGTGTTGAGAAATCAGCTGATAGCCTTATTGGAGCTCCCTTGTATGTTACTAGCTTTTTCTCCCTTGCTACCTTTAAAATTCTCTCTTTTTCTTTAAATTTTTCCATTTTGATTGTAATGTGTCTTGGAAGTGAAGATGAAGGAGACCCTCTGCGCTTCCTAGATTTGTGTGACTTTCTCCTTCACCAAGTTAGGAATGTTTTCTCTTAGTTTTTCAAACAAGTTTTCTATCCCTTATTACTATTCTTCTCCTTCTGGTATTACTAAGATGTGAATATTGTTATGTTTCATGTTGTCCCAAAGCTCCCTTAAACTATTCTCATTCTTGTGTGTCTTTTCATTTTGTTGCTCTGAAACTGTCTTTTTTTTCCTTTATGGTGGCTTTTGCATTGAGAGTCTTTTAAAACAAGGGTAGGGCTCTCCTCTGTGCTCCCTCCTTTTGTCCAATTTCATCTGCATTTACTCTGCACCCCCAGAAGTGAACATTATATAAGCCCTAATATAGAACCCAAATCTTGAAACACAGAATCATCCTTTTTCTCTCTGAGAATCCAACCAGATCTGACTCAGTCCTAAAGCGAACACTACTGACTCCAGTTGTCCTCAGGCACCTAGAGGGCATGCATTAGTTCTAGAATCTCATAGGTCATTTTCAGATTCTTTTGGGGATCATACTTTTAGAACTTCACCAGAGCAAATGCAATCCAGTTTCAAAAATTGCCTGAAGCCAATTCAGAACTAATTTAAATATAACTGAAAAAGAACCCTTTCTATCCTTTATTCCCACCCAAATGGCTTGAACATAAAACTAGATTATCTGTAGGGCAAAGACTGCCTACAACTTCACTGTCTTCCAGTCTGTCAGAAAATGAAGAGCAGAGCTCACTTGGAACTTCTTCTCCAAGGAAGGAATACATTATTATAGACAGCACATTACTGATTCTCTCAGAGGAAAATACTGCTAACCCACATCTTACCAGAATAGTAATAGTAATGTACTACATGCCAGACACTGTTCTCTGTCCTTTCCTCATATTAATCTTCACTTAATGCTCATTCAATCCTCCTAACTACCTGAAAAGTTCGAAATGTCGTTGTAGCTGTTTTATAGATGAGAAAACTAAGACACTGCACAGGTCCTGCAGTGGCAGAGCCAGGGTTTAAACTTAGAGTCTGGTTCCAGCACAAGTGTGCTGTTGGTCACCATTTTTTTCTTCCTGGGAAGCAGAGTCTGAGTTGATTGAGGGGCCACATTTTATAAGGTTAGATTCAGGATATTTTGTGTGCACTTGTGTGTATGTGTAAATTTTATACTACCTATTTTGAATTTCTTTTATTTTTTAATTTGTATCGACTTTATTGGGATGATATTGGTTAATAAAATTGTATAGGTTTCAGGTGTACAGTTCTATAATACACCATCTGTTTGTGTGTTCACCACCCCAAGTCAGGTCTCCTTCTGTCAACATTTATCTCCCCTTTACAATCTTCTACCTCCCCCACCTTCCTTTTCCTCTGGTAATCACCATACTGTTGTCTCTGTCCATGAGGTTTATTTTTCTTTGCTTAATCCCTTCACCTTTCTACCCAGTCCCCAGACCTCTCCTCCCCAATGACAGCCATCAGTCTGTTTTCTGTATCTATGAGTCTGTTTCTATTTTGTTTGTTAGTTTATCTTGTTTATTAGATTCCACATGTAAGGGAAACCATATGGTACTTGCCTTTCCCTGACTGGCTTATTTCACTTAGCATAGACTTTGCAGGTCCATCTGTGCTGCTATAAAAGGTAAGATTTCCTTCTTTTTTGTGGCTGAGTAGTATTCTATTGGGTAAAGATACCACAATTTTTTTTATCTGCTCATCTACTTACAGGCACTTGGGCTGCTTCCAAATTTTGGCTATTGTAAATAATGCTGCATTAATTTTCTGATGAGGATTTTTTAAAAGATTTTATTTATTTTCAGAGAGAGGGGAAGTGAGAGAGAAAGAAAGGGAGAGAAACATCAGTGTGTCCCTGCCTCCTGTGTGCCCCCAACTGGGGACCTGGCCCGCAACCCAGGCATGTGCCCTGGCTGGGAATCAAACCAGTGACCCATTAGCTCACAGGCTGGCACTGAATCCACTGAGCCACACCAGCGCGGGCTGTTGAGGATATTTTTAATGATCATGTTACTAATACTTTATGCTTAAATTTGCAGACAAATTTATGACAGTGTTATTAAATAGTATTCATTTATCTTTCTGTCAGGTGATTTAATGAAAATACCAAGTTCTGAATTGAGGATACAAATTTGTAAGTGTATTGTTGACTTTTATCATGCAGAACCACCAAAGAAGCATATTACAGGTAAAGTTTTTAATGGTCTTTCAATAATAACTTATGTTTTCATAAAACAGAATAATCTATCCCATTTCTCTTTTAACTTGGAAAGAGAGTAGGATCATAAGTGCACCATCTCAAAAACAAAAGATTTTTTGTCATCTCAAACTCTTTGGTCTTTCTAAACAAATAATTATATGTATATGTATTTTCAATTTTAGGTTTGCATGGTATTTTTATTCTGGTGCTAAATATGGTATGATCTAATGTTAAAGTCATACCCAAATTAGTTTATTTTTACTTATTTCTATTAGTCAGCGTAATAGTGTTGGTAATATTGTTTATTATTCTCTAACATAATTATTTATAACATCAGTCCCAGCCAATTAAATGTTACAGTCTTAATAACAACATTCTCCATCATGTTTGGGAAAACAGTTCTGCATGTTACAGCTAAGAGATCTAACATATGATGATGATGAGGTACATTACACTGATAGGGATGATATTAAGGCAAAGGGCACTTGCACTGCAAAACATACTTCCCACCTCCATAGTTTCTGTGGTTTATAATCAACCTAGGAATGGAGAGGAGATATAAATCATATTCTTTAAGTTCTGTGTTTTTTAAGATAGGTGGAAAGAAACTCTGCGGTAGAAAAGAAAGATTATTTACATGACTGGGGAAAAATGGGAAGTCATCTGAAGTAAGAAATGAACAGGAGATTATTAAATGCCAAATTTGAACTATTGATGAGATAGACAAATGGAAATATTTGCTACATGGTAGACATATACAGTAGTTAGGGAATAGAGACCAGAGATACAGGTTTGAAATTTAACCAGAGGTGAAAATTGAAGCCATCAGTATGGTTGAGTTTCCTAGGAAGGAGCACAGGAGCAAGAATAACAACATGGAGTACGCCCATACTGAAATTTGGGGTGAGGGGGATGATCCAAGGAAGTTGGCAGTGAAGGGATCTTTGAAGAGGAGGAAGAAAACCTAACGGTTGCCGTGTCTGGTGTGCCAGTGAATGAAGAGTGCTTTGATGAAAGAAGGGGCCTCAGTGGCAAACACTGCAGAGGCTTCTGTAAGCGAGGAATGAAAAGGCCAGGTTAACATGCTGTCTGGAAAGTTGAGGTTAATCTTTGTTAGATTATTGCCCTCAAGTGTTCAGGGCAGATGTAGGGTTAAAGAATGAGAGTACTGTGAAAGTGGAGACAGGGGGAGTGAGGGAGTAGCGGTGGCGAATGCAGACTTGTACAGGGTGCGGCACAAGTAACGCCCCTCTTTTATTACAGAATCATAAGTGTGTAATTCTGTAACATAACAGTATCACACTCAAGTATATCATAACACATTTTAGGTGAAATGTTCAAATTAAAATTATACATTATTACACCCATTTTACTACCCTACCAACCACACTCAAGCAGGCATTAACTTCTGCCGGACCCTGTATTTTAAGATCAAATGGTGAAGGAAAAGAAGTAAGATGGAGAACAGCTTAACTGGTAGCAAGATCAAGGAAAATATTTAGGTTATGTCATTGTTTTTAATTTATTTAAAAATGAAGTTAGTAAATAGGAAGAATAAGAAGCTAGTAAATAGGAAATTCCCAAAGAAAGCAGGAGAGGATGGAATTAAGAACAAAAGCTTAGGGTTAGCCTTGGTAGGATACATACACCCTTCTTTCAGAATGAAAGGGAGACGAATGACATATGGGATACAAAAGAGGAGTGAAGGTGCCGAGAAGTGAGCTTGACCTTAATTTGATCGGGCTCTGAAAATTAGGAGCCTTAAGCAATGCTCTCGTGGTCACACAGTTGATTTTAAGTGATGGGCATGGATGGACATCTGGGACCACAGCTGGCAAGTCCTCGAGAGAGCAATTAAAAGAGACATAGCCTTGGAGATAGGAATCAAGTCCATGAGCCTTAACGTTATCATGTCTTTTTATAGAACTGTAAACTCAACAGACAGATACAGTAAATATAAGCTATACATTTTGGTCTATACCTATCATAGACTATTACTCAAATAAAAATCATGTTTTGGAACAATATGTTACAGAATGGGAAAAAGCTTACAATAAAATGTTTAGTGGTTGCAGTAGATTATAAAATTCTGCATATATATATTATACTGTTAAAGTAATATGCATATAGTAATATGAGCAGGGAATAGACCAAAATGTTAATGTTGTCATCTCTGGATGGTGCTAGTCCAGGCAATTTTTGTTTTCCTCTTTGTACTTCTTAAATGCCTAAGAAAATACCTTTTCTAAATGCCAAACCCATCATAGGAAGGGACAGGGCCTTGTCCAGGGTCAGACCTCAAATTCAGAAAGATAAACGGACAGGCATCTCAGAACTTTGGTGAGAAATCTAGTTGGTCTCAAAAGTCAGTAAGTCAGGGAGGTAGATGAGTGATACCAGAAAATAGCTGCACCTCAGGTGAGCTGGCATCCTGTGATGTTCATTTAATCTCCTTACGTGTAGTTGGACCGTGCAACTATGTCAGAAGGAGAGGTAGTAATGAAAGCTAAGGCAGAAGAAAAAAATTTTAACTTCATTTTTGATATATATAATTTATGTAAGTATAGCATTTATATAATTTACAAAGTGATCCCCCAGTAAGCGTAGAACCTACCTGGCATCTGCTCATACACAGCTAGTGCAATATTATTGACTATATTCCCTATGATGTACTTACATCCCCATGACTACTACGTAACTACCAACTTGTACTTCTTTTTTAAAAAAATTTATTGAGATGGCACTGGTTAACAAAATTATACAGATTTCAGGTGCACAGTTCTACAGCACATCATCTGTACACTGTATTGTGTGTTCAGCACCCCAAGTCAAGCCTCCTTCCATCACCATTTAACTCCCCATACCCTCCTCCATTTTCCCCCTCCCCCCGCAGAAGGAAATTCTTACAGGACACATCACCAAGAATCAAACTTCCCTGAAATACCATTATACTTACTAGCACTTCTCACAACAGCATTATATTGTATATCTCTCATTTCATTGCCAACACCTCGTAATTGCCATTCCTTGAAAGCACTGAAGTGATGCATGGACTGGAATAGTGAAAACATTCCGTGTTTGTAATCAGGGCACTTTTCTTTATGGATCTACGCATATCTACGGCAAATAAGAAGTAGCGTTCTCTTTTAGAATTTAAGATGTGGCCCCAAATTTGTGGTCCTATTTTATTTTATTTTTTAAATACTTTTGCTTTTATTTTTAATATTTTATTTCTTTATTTTTAGAGAGAGGGGAAGGGAAGGAGAAAGAGAGGGAGAGAAGCATCAGTGTGTGGTTGCCTCTCACATGGCCCCCACTGGGGACCTGGCCTGCAACCCAGGTGTGTGCCCTGACTGGGAATTGAACTGTGACCCTTTGGTTCACAGCCCATGCTCAATCAGGGCTACAACCAGCCAGGGCTCATGGTTCCATTTTAAATGTTACACCAAGAATCAGCAAACTATGGACTACAGGCCAAAACTGGTCCACTCTGAATAAAGTTTTATTGGAACACAGCCATGCCCATTTATTTTTATATTGCTTAATTGATTCCTGTTTCCAAGCAGAGTTGAGTATTTGTGACAGAATCCTTATTATCTATGAGGCCTGAAATACTCAATACCTGGCCGTTTGTAGTAAAGGTTTGCCTATCCCTGTGCTAAACCATTTTTAAAAAGCCATATACTTTTTAACAGTTTTGTTTTGTTGCTGCTATTTAGTGACCATTCCTTTGTCTTAATGTAGATGATTACTGTGTGAAATTACATATTTATTAACTAATTGTTGTTAGGTTACCAGCAAGCTAGCTCAATGTATAAGATTCAAATGGCTGAAGTCGGAGGACTGGCAAAAATGATGGTTCAGTCATTGGCCTTGCTTGAAAATCAGCTTGTTGAGAAACTTTGGGTACTTAAAGCTCTGCAACATCTTTCAACTTCTGGTTCGTATATTATTCATTTTGAACCCTTTATTCTAAACCTATTATGTTTCTATCTAACAATGTCATAACTGTAACATAAACAACTTATAAATTGATTTCCAGAAGTTAATTGTTCTTTAATGGTGAAAGCACAAGCAGCCAGTGGCATCTGTGTTCACCTCAATGACCCAGATCCCTCCGGACAGCTCCTGTTTCGTTCGTCAGAAATACTTTGGAACTTACTGGAAAAATCATCAAAAGAAGAGATCGTACAACAGCTTAGTAACTTGAAGTGTTTGCTGTAAGTATTTCTGGTTAGCTAGGAATGTTTTTTAACCTTGTGACGTAACTAACATTTTTTACCTCATGATATTACTAACATTTTTATTTGACTTTGTGTTCCAGTAGTCTTTTAATTCGTGTAATAGCTGTTTTAGGACATGTTGTTTGTGCCATGTTTCAAATTATTGCATGATACGAAGCCTTTTTTTCCAATGTAGAAGGCATTTAGAGTAGCTTGTTAACAGAACTAATTATGTCTTTGAATATTTATAAAGTAAAATTAGCATTTATGAGAACTACTCATTTGTTTATTCAATAAATGTATTTTTAAATACTGTCTTCTAGTTACTGCAATAAGCATTAGCAATAATATGAGTAAGCCTTTAAGTTACTTATTCATTTATTCATCAAGTAATTGTCTGCTCTGTGCCAAGCTGTACTAGGCCATAGAAAGACAATTGAAAACAGTACAAATGTGGTCTCTGCTTTCATGGAGTTTGTGTTGTGTTAGGAGAGATGGACAAGTAGTAAGTAGGCAACTAACTGCGAGTGTACTAAATGTTATGAAAGATGCCTTAAGGTGCTGCATGTTTTCCAGAGGAGGGTGAATCAGTACATTGTTGTTTGCAAGTGACTGAACACCCAACCCAACTGATCTAAACAATTATAGGAAATTTGTGGGTGAATATTACTAGGAGGTCAAGAATCAAAGTGGTTTCATGTGCAGCTGTGTTCAAAGCTTAGCAAATACTGGGACTTGGGCCCTCTTCCTCTCTCTGTTCTGTCTTCACTGTGTTGGCTTTATTCCCCGTCTGGTTCCATTAGAAGGTTTCTTTCTCTTAAAGGGGGCTGTTGCCCTTTTGGCCAACCTAATTACTAGCAGTTGGTAAGACCAAAAGTGATGAAAGGGTGAAGCCTAAATAAAGTAAGTCGCTGTTGTCCAATGCACTGTTGTCACAGGAAGGGCAAGTCGATCCTGGGAAGCAAAGCACAAATGTCCATTGGACAGGGAACCTGGAGAGTGAGTTAGTGCCTCCTGATGAACCCTAATCTGGTATCTGAATAATAAATACGAATTGGCAACACAGAAGAGTTCTGCATGCAGAGAGCATCCTAAACAGGGGAAGAGAAGTGAAAATAGAATTTAGCAAAATCAAAAATCTGAAGAAATTCAATATGAGAGCAGAAAATACAGGGTACAGTAGTGAGAGAAGCAGCTAACAGTGTTACCAGGGACAGTACACCATGAAAGGCCTGATAAGCCTTGACAAAGAAAAGCCTTTAAGTAGCTTTAAAAAGGAAAATGATGTGATTGAGTCTTTATTTTTGAGCACTTTGACCACCATGCCTAAATTGGATTGATGGATTCTCACTACAGTGAGTTAGAGGCAGATTTGAAAATACAGAAAAGATTAGAAATGTTTTTAAATGAATAATGGAAAAGGAAGATTTTATTGATAGAGACATAAGTATTTCCACAGAATATAGTTCTAAAAGTATGATTTTACCTTCCAGGGCTTTAAAGGAAGCATTTAAACATCTGTTTATGAGAGGTTTTAGTCATTATGATCGTCAGCTTAGAAACGATATATTAGTGATCACTACAATTATAGCTCAAAATCCTGAAGCCCCAATGATTGTAAGTATGAACAGATTGCACTCATTGAGACTGTGGGAGTGGGGGAAGGGAGCACTGGACTGCGTCACAATGTGTGTGCACTTCGTGGTAAGGCCGAGTTGTGTCGTACTGTCAAGATGGCCGCCAGCACAGTCACACTGCCAGCTCTTCTTCCCGTTGCCTTTGGAAACTTGAGGTCCTCGTGTTTTATCATTTATTCACATATTTACCATTTGTGATGTGTGTCTTTCCTTCCTGATGATACGAGGTTTTATCTGGTTATCATTTCCCCTTCACCTAAAGAACTTCCGGTAACTATTTCTCACGATGCAGATGCTGGCTGCGGGCAAACATGTCCTTTCAGTTTCTTTAATCCGAAACTGTCTTTAATTCACCTTAGTCCTTGAAATCTGTGTCTCAGAATATAGAATTCTAGGTTAAAGTTTTTCTCATTTAGCACTTTAAAAACATTGTTCCCCTCACTGTCCTTTGGCCTCATTGTTTCTGATAAGAAGTATTCGTTATTTCAAATTGTTATTCTTGTGTACAATGTAGGATTTTCACTCTATCTTTGGTTTTCAGCAGTTTTTCTATGATAAACCAAGCTGTAATTTTCTTTGTATTTGTCCTTCTTGAGGTTCATAGAACTTCCTGAAAATGTAAATTTAGGTATTTCACTAAAATTGAAGAATTTTTGGCCATTATTCTTCAAATGTTTCCAGCCCCAGTCTCCTCTTTTAGAACTCTGATTACACGTATGTTTCACTTTTTTGGATATTGTCCCACAGGTTCATGAAGCTCCATTTCCTTTTTTCAATCATGTTTCTCTCTATTCTTAAGCTTGGATAGTTGACATTGGTCTGTGTATTTAAATTCACTGAGTTTTTTCTTTTGGGCACCTCCATTCTGCTGCTAATCCCATCCAATACATTTTTATTTCAGATGTTGTATTTTTCAGTTTTAGAAGTTTTTTGGTTCCTTTTTATAGTTTCTCTTTCTTGGCTGAGAGTTGCTATCTTTCCATTAGTTATGAGCATCTGGTGTATTCCTCTGAAAAGCACTTTTTTCAGTTAATAAGCATTCGGTTTGACTATATTCATCCCAATGGTAGATGGCAGCTCAAATCTCAGTTCACTTCTTTCAGTCTCATGTGGGGTGCCGGAGTAGGCCCTGCCCTTGTGTGCTTCAGGCATCAGCCAAAGATTGAGGAATTGTATCCACAGAAATTGGGGTTCCCTTCCTCTAGCTCTCTCCTTCATGGGATTTCTCCCGTCACTTCCCAGTAGCAGTGTTCACCCTGTGATTGCTTCTGTCTGGTTCTTCAAGTGGGTAAGACACGAGTGTACCCTCAGATACAGCATCCCCTCGAGGTGCAGACTACAGCCTGGGCTTGTTCTCAAAGACATTCAGTTTTCAGAGGAAAACTCATTCATGGTCACTTCCTTCCTCAAAGTCCTGACTCCCCTCCAGTATCTGCTTGCTTTGGATCACAGATAGTTGTTTTTATATTTTGTTCAGAATACATAGTTGTTACCTGAAGGAGGTTTCTCTAGGAGCTACTCAGCTGTATCAGAAGCTGAGCTTCCCCATGTTTTATAATGTAAAAGTTACTGGATGGTGGACATGCTAGAGTAGAGACCTTTGCCAACAGTGTTCACATATCTCCACACACTTTCTAGGTCGTACTTAAAGGAAATTTGGTAGTGAAGGCCTCAGCCCCGTGTTAATGGGCATCCAGTTGTCCCAACATACGAGAACAGTTACAGGATTCATACTAGGAGACAGGGAAACAGTCTTACATGGCTTCCTCGTCAAGGCTGCAATGCATGTGCGGGCATACGTGTTTCTCTGGAAGCCCTGGTCAGTCAGGACGTTCTCATTACCATTCCTGCAAACATTCAGGTGAATTCCCTGAATGTGAGTCAAAGGAATAAGATCTCCACATTTTAATGAAACCGTCTTTACTGTAAGTAGCAAGTGTGTGAAGTGCTAAGCTCAAAGGTCCAGGGTTTGCCCCTGTACGTTCTACCTGATACACGAAGTCCACTCAGGACATGTCTGTCAGGAATGAGTTCCCTCACAGTGCAATGTGTGCAACTTCGGTCTTTCTTCGGGCTCTTCATGTTAAGTAGGAACCGTTCTGTTATCACTTGACTGCCCTTTTGACAAAATGAGAGTGGTTTGGTTTGGGGTGGGCAACAGGGTTGTTAAGAAGAAAAGCTGTTGAAAATAACTATTTTCTTTCCTTCTTGTGTCACTTGAAAGTATAAATAATGACATAAGTAGCTTGTAGTGTTAATATATTTTGGGTTCTCAGTCAATTTTAAATAGCATCTTATAAAAGAGTCTCCAATGACATATTTCTAAAATATTTCTTAGAACCTACAGAAGTTTAATATTAAATAAATTACAAGTTTATCTATATTCTTTCATTTTCTTGCTTTCATCCCTTCCTATTCGTAGTGCTTTATGATTTCAGATGGATGACAAGGGGAATCAGATAAAGGCACTTAAATATTAGGTAAATATGGGCATCTGTAACTGAATTTCCCCTAATTAACTCATCCTTCTGTTTGTTTTATGTATTTATATTAGGAATGTGGCTTTACCAGGGATTTGATACTATTTGCAACCTTTAATGAAGGTAAATCATAACACTTTCAACTTATAATTAACACTTTCAACTTATAATTAACTCGATGAGTTTTATATGTCATGCTGGCTTTTATTTTACTTTTTTTTTCTTTTTCTCCTCACAGTTAAAAGTCAAAATCCTTTGGTAAAAGGTCTTAAGCTTTCCAATTCCTATGAAGATTTTGAGTTGAAAAAATTACTATTCAATCTAATTGTGATCTTATGTAAAGATTTACCTACTCTACAGGTAAAGAGTGATCAAAGCAAAAATTTAAATTGTCTCACTTTGTAGTATAGCCTTTTATAAGTCATGGCTGCACATCTTTCATCAGCCTGTATGTTTTTACCATAAAAACTAACATGCTTGCCCTGGCTGGTGTAGCTCAGTGGACTGAGCATGGGCCTGTGAAGCAAAGGGTCACTGGTTCGATTCCTAGTCAGGGCACATGCCTGGGTTGCAGGCCAGGTCCCCAGTAGGGGACACATGAGAGGCAACCACACATTGATGTTTCTCTCCCACTCTTTCTCCTTCCCCTCTCTCTAAAAATAAATAAATAAAATATTTTAAAAAACTTACAAGGTGTTATTGGCTGGAATTTCACCTTTTTAAAATTTTCTTTGCTGATCTGTAAACAGTGAACTTACTCAAATTTGAACCATGTAAACCAAAGAAAAGCAAGAGAGCCTTAGAGATTTTTGTGTTTAGATCTTCTCAGTAAGATGGGCCCAGTTAGCGCAGCGGTCTGCCTCTCACCATGGTAACGAGGGCTGCGTCGCTGGGGGGAAGCGAACCTCCATGTAGCCAGGCCCACACCCTCCTGAGCTGCCTGTTCTCCACACCAGCCTAATGTCTTTATGGTTTTTTAAATTATCCATAAGTGCACCTTACTACTTTACACATAACGGCATGATATAATTTGAAGCACATTGGAACTGAACTTGACTTCAGTCTTATTACCTACTAGCTATGTGGCCTTGGCACAACCACCCAGACGTTCTGAGACTCAGTTCCTCCTCCTGTGGAAGGAAGGTTATGATACATCTGCCCCGCTCACAGGGCTGCTGCAACATGGATTCATGAGATACAGACGCAGGCTTCATAAACTGTAAAGTGACAAAAAACTGTACTACTGACAATTCTATTAGTTTAGTTATTTCCTGCATTAAGTGAAATTTCATTTTAGTCCTAAAACTCTTTCAGGCCCCAGGAGTTTACCATGAAAAAGAACTGGGAATCCATTCTATCAATATTATTAATGACGATAGAAAGGTGGTTTCCCACAGGGGCTCAGGCCTCAGTCAGATGGGATCCAGTGCTGTTACATTCTAGCTATGTGATCTTGAATAGGTTGTTTAGTTTCTCTAAATTCCACACATCTGCACTTCAAAGTGTGTATAACACCTACCCTATGGGATTATTATGAGGATTAAAAGAGCTCAGAAATGTCTTGGTACTGCGACTTTGAGGAATATATAAACAATGCTCAGAAAAAATGGTTATAACTTTATTAGTTATATCAAATATATATACACTCTATACAACCTAAGAATATTTTCTGAAATGCAGGATAGAAAATATTCAATAAAACATGGTTTATTATAGCAGAGTATTACATAATGATTGAAATGGTAAAGACAATAAAATTTACACTACAATTTATAAGTCAAATGGTACAAAGACTATAGTGAGCTTCTTAAACCACTGTGTGAGCAATGGAGTTAACTGATTTTTTTTTATGTCATATTCTGGTGACCCAGTAATAGTAGTAATGATGGATATGTGTGTACTGTTATTTGCAGTTCACAGAGTATTTCAAAACATTATCCACTTAATACTTATAGTAATGCTAGAACTACTTGTTATCCTTATTCCTATCTTCTCAGTTCTAAATGTTCTTTCTGTGTAGACTAGTAGAAAATTTAGGAAAATTCATAGATGTTATTGTGAAAGTCTGCATAGAATAGTGCCAAATGAAAAGAAAACTGAATAGAATATAACACGTGGTGTGCTGCTGTCTTGTGTACCACAAACATGTGTCGGTGAGATTCAGCTTATTTATGTAATATTAACTTTATTTTCATAAATAGTTCTGCATTTTTGTTTTATTTTTGTCAAAGTCATGGATTCAATATGACTAAAATTCTAGGCATGTAATTAAATATGGCTTGTGATCTGACTGGCATTCATTGGACAGAATTTTTGCAGTTACATTTTGTATGCTTGAAGATTACCATAGTTATGACTTCAAACAAAATGGATTTTTATAGTATTCAGTTGAGTCTGTGAAATGTTTCCTTTATAAAAAGAGGGAGGGAAGAGAAAAATGCCAGCAGTTTATTTGTCTCAAATTTTCTACTCCTGTGGCTTTATCAGAAGGAAGAACTAAACCATATATAGACAAAAAAATGAATACTTTATAATATTACTGCCAGCTAGAGTGTATATATCCCAGAAAAGGGATACCAGCCAACTATTGTTATTATTGAGTTTTTGCAATTTTTTTTATTTTTTGCTTTTTGGGTAGTTAATGTAGGTCGAGATCTTTAGGAAGGAAATACTTTGAAATTATTATGAATAAAACATCAAAGTCAAAAAATTTTAATTTTCATAGATTAAATAAAACTGTTTTATTTATGTTTCTAACAAAATACTTTCTGCCCCTTTCTCATAGCTACTAATTGATGGCAAAGTGGTTTTGGCTTTGTTTACCTATGTTAAAAAGCCCGAGAAACACAAAATAACTGAGTGGTCTGCAGCACAGAGTGAAGAATTACAACTGCATGCAATTGCCACTTTGTCATCAGTGGCCCCATTACTAATAGAAGAGTATATGTTGTGCCAGGGAAATGCTCGAATCCTGGCGTTTCTGGAATGGTGTGAGAGCGAAGGTGAGTGGCCTCCAGAGATGCCTGTCCAACTCTAACCTGCATGTTTCCACTGAACCTTCAATATATGCATAGGAAAAGCTATAAAATGAGGGCAAAGAGAAATAAAAATATAACTTTTGTGATGTTTTAAGAAAAAACAATCAAAGATTTCATTTAAAATCAGGCATTAGTGAAGATTGTAACTACAGTTGATGTACAACTCTCAGTAAAAGAAACTATACATAAAATCTGACTTAAAGTTTTATATTATCAGGCCTATCCAACAATTATACAAAACTAAGTGCTGCAATATTTTAAATATTCATTCAACAAATATTTATCGATGCCTACTAAGTACCAGATACTGTTTTAGCTGCTAAAGGTATATTTATGTTCAAAATAAATAAAATCTCTACCTTCATGTAGCTTAATACCCAGATCTCCAGTCCAAAGTTAACAGTTGCACATATGGTCTACCAAATTAGCAGAGTCCCAATTTGCTGTGTGTTTTATTCCAATTCCCATAATTCTTAGAAAGGAAATAAGACATACGCTCTTTTCTAAAACAATCTATAAGGAAAATACTACATTCTTTTCTGGTAGTAACTTTGCTCTAGAAATAATTTTGTATGGCGCATTTTCATTAGATCAGTAATATCACTCATTTCCTCCATGAGGGAGTAAAAAAATTCCAGCTTCTTTTTATTCTCTAGTTTCTAATATGCTGCAGTACTAAATTTAGTCTTGTTAAGGGAAATAATTCTTCTGTCTATTCTTTATATTTATGACTACAGAAGACTATATCATTATTACATTATTTATGTTTACAAAAGAACGTAAGGCAAAGAGGAAATGCTGCCCTACAAGAGCAGAGCGACAGCTAACAGTTACTGAGTGTGTTCTGTGTGATGGGCCCTAAGCAGCTAACAAGTATTAATTCACTTAGTCCTCACAGAAAGTCTAGGACTTACAGGTACTACTATTCCAGTTTATCGGATGGGTGTAAATCAGTGAGAGAAGTTAAATGACTTGTTCCCAGCCACGCAGTAAGTGGCAGAGCCAAGATTTAATGCAGACGGTCTGGCTCCAGAACCCACACTTTCAGCTAACACACGATATTCAGAAGATTATTTCGAACTTTTTAAAAAGCTTTAAACAAAGCTACTTCTAAAAGAACCTTGTATGTATAAAGAACCTAAAGAATGTATATTGTAAAGAAGAAAAGAAGGTTGGCCCTGCTGTTTATCAAGACCTAACATAAAACCACAGTAATGAAAGTTGCGTTGTACTAGGCCAGGGATAGACCAGTGGAGTGGAATGTGTGGGAGGTTGGTTTTATCAGAGATGATGTTGCTGATCGATGAGAGAAAGATGGTGCTGAGGCAGTGGGCCCTCCACGCAAAAAAATAAAAAGTAGTTTCTTTCTCCTTGTTAAAAAAGTCAATTACAAAATAGTTAAAGCCCTCGATATGAAGCGTTAAACTGGAAAAATTTTAGGAAAAAGATATGGGAAAATATCTTTATGATAACAGGGTACAAGAAGACTCTGAAAAACTAGAGCAGCTTAAACTGTACAGGAGAAGACTGGTACAGTTAACTACTGTAAAATTTCAAAATGTCTTTATGACAAAACCAGAATAAAATAACAATCTGCAAATTAAGAGGAGTCTTTTACTATCCCTGTGTCTGATAAAGGCTTAGAATCAAGGTTCAATAAGAACTACATATTGAAAAGGAAATAACTCAATAGAGAAGAAAATAAAGAATAAAGACTGCCATGTATCAGAGAAAAATCTCAAATTTTCAACCCTATTGGTAATCAGAGAAATGCAAGTTAATATTACCATGAACTACCACGTCACATTGAACAGATTGGGAAGGCTCTGTTAGTCTTATACATTATATTCATATAACCACTTTGGGCAACAGTTGGTAACTTTGTTAAAATTCAGTGCGGGTGTAGGGTGTACCCTCTGTGATTCCCGTGTCACATGAGGAAACTGCTCAGTGGGAGACAGAGGACGTGCTCCAGATGGTTCACTGTAGCAGTTTGAACTAGTGAATGGAACAGCCGTGGTGTATGTGTAAAATGAATACAGAGAGCAGTTGAAATGAATGAGGTAGATCCACTTTTGACAACTTGAATAATTTTTTAAAACAAATTAATGGAAGTTACAAAAGATACATACAATATGATCTATTTAAAAAATGTTAAAGCATATATTTCTGTGTCTGATATATTGTTTAGTTTATTCTAAATGTTTTATGTTTTCAGTTTCTTGATTAAAGTAAATCATTACTATTTCTGCACAGATTCCTTCTTCAGTCATGGGAACAGTTTTCATGGTACAGGCGGCCGTGGCAACAAGTTTGCCCACCTGCGGTACACTTTGAGACTCCTGAGAGCTATGGTCTACCTCGAGGAAGAGACTGTAAACCAGGATCTTTGTGAGCAGGGAGCGATTCAGCAACTGATAGGTAAAACAGAACATGTTTGGTCCTGGTGAGAGTAGAATATGTACAAATTAGGTTTTGTTTAAAATGGTTTTCTACAAATTGATTTTGTTTTTATAGCCGAGGAACTCCTGCTTTTCAAACATTTATTTTCTCAATTCAGATACCATATCATTTAGGAGTATCTCTGTTTTTTTAAGTGGGTGGTGGTTGTTTCATTCTTGTAGTAATAAGATGATCACTTTCTGGCCAAGCCTGTCGGATTCGATTTAAAGAGGACAGCATTACCTTTGCCAGTGCATCTGACAAACCAGAACACTGGGACACTGGTATACACAGACATGTACACAGGAGATTCTTTGAAATATCAGGATGCCCTTGATTTTTAACTTAGAATTGACTATGCTAAGTTGCAGTATCCCCAAAATATATACACGTGAGCTCAGTGTAAAATTCAGAATCCCTTTTTAAAGTTTTGACCTTTTGTTAAATAAAAAAAAAACAAGTAGTCTGCTAGCCCTAACCTTCCCTCACATAGAAAAGTAAGAACTATTTTAGTCATATTCATATTCACTGGTTGCCTTATGAGTGAGTGATATAATTTGCTGAATGTCAGTCAATTAAAATGCCTTCTCAAAAACTGTCAGGTTCAAGTGCCTACTCTTCCATCCTTACTAGAGTGGTGCTCTCTCATAAAAATACCAGTAAGCAAAATAAGGATGTTGAACAGGGGGCTAGGGAGAAACATTCACTTTATGGATGAGTTTGCTTAGGATGACCAAACCTGAAAGGAGACATTCGTGCACAGCCCAGAAGTCAGTGTAAGAGCCCAGCCTAACTGGAGGGAGCACAGGAAACGCAGTTTGCCCTGTGTCCACAAGCAACTCTTAATCTTCTCTGGGTGGGAAGTAGTAGGGAAATGGGAAAAGAGACAAGGGTTCTTTTCTTAGGACCTTCTGCCTTTAAGTTGAAAAAAAAGCCTGGTCTTTATCATGTGAGGGCTGTTAGAGGCAGGGACCTTCTCTTCCTGAATCTAACAGAAGGATCCATAGTAGTAAAGTGCTGAACAAATAGTAACTGCATTTTGAGTGTAGATGTTTATACACCTTTTGTGCAGGTGCTGGGATTACAAATGCAGAGCAGGACACCGGGACCTTGCCTTAATCGGGACATTAGGAAAGATGTCTGTCATACAAAGATAGCGTTTATTACCAGGCACCATTAATGAGACTTGAGTCATAGGATAAATACCTTGGAAACTAAAAGGTTTGGGTAGTTTTCAAGGCTGAGCAATTGTTTTAATCTAATTAACATTTATTGAGGGCTTATTATAGAGAGAAAACTGCTCCAGGTACTTTAAATACATAATCTTATTAATCCTCCTGATAATTCTTGGTTCAGGTACCTGTTTTATAGATAAGAAAGTTAATGAACCTGCCAGAAGCTGTGCATCAGGGACTGGGGGGAGGGGGAATTAGGGAGTTATTACTTAATGGGTTAGATATACATCTGGAGGCTGGGGGGGGTGTCTCTGGGTCTCTTTCCTTGCCTTTTCTAGCTTTTAGAGGCCACCTGCTTTTCTTGGTTCATGGTCCCCTTCCTCCAACCTCCTCAAAGCCAGCAAGGCCAGTTGAGTTTTTCTCAGCTCCCCTCACTGGGACTCTCAGAAAATACTCACATTTAAAGGATGGATACTATTCCATTGTATGTATGCACTACATTTAGTTTATCCATTCACCCATCAATGGAGACTTAGGTTATTTCCACTTTTTGGCTATTGTGAATAAGGCTGCTATGAACAGAGGTATAAAAATATTTCTTTGAAACCCTGGTTTCAGTTGTTTTGGATTATACCCAGAAGTAGAATTACTGGACCATACGGAAATTCTATTTTTAATTTTTTAAAAGAATCACCATACTTTTTATACAGTGGCTGCATCATTATACATTCCCACCAACAGTGCACAAGTTTTCCAGTTTTGCCACAATCCTTTCCAATACTCTTTTTCTTTTATAGTAGCCATTCTAATGGGTATACGGTGGAATGATGGTGGTTTTGACTTTCATTTTCCCAGTGATTAGTGATGTTGTGTATCTTTGCATCAGATTCTTGCCATTTGTATGTCTTCTTTGGAGAAATGTCTAGTTATCAGTTAGTACTTTGCCAGCTTTTAAATCGGTTGCTTGGTGTTTTGTTGTTGAACTTTAGGAATTCTTTATATGTTCTGGGTATTAATCTTGTATTATATATATGATTTGCTAATATTTCCTCCCAATCCATTAAGTTGCCTTTTCAGTCTGTTGATTGTATCCTTTGATACACAGAAATTTTCAACAATTTTTTGTCAAATTGCTATAAAAATTTTTTTTGCTTAATCTTAATTTGTGTGCTCATCTTTTTATTAAAATTATTTCATTTCAATATTATTTTATATTGGTTTCAGGTGTATATCTTATTGGTTTGACAATCATGTACTTTACAAAGTGTTCCCCTCTGATACTTCTAGTACCCACCTGTTCCCATAATAGTTACTACAGTATGATTGACTGTGTTCCCTATGCTGTACTTCATATTCCCATGGCACTTTTATAACTCCCAATTTGTACTTCTTAATCTCTTCACCACTTTCAAGGTCTGGGCAGTCTTAACATGATCCTTACTAAGTTGGGTTGTAAGGCTAGTTAAGAGAGAGAGAGAGAAGGAGAGGTGGTCTTTCAAGCAGAGGGACAGCATGAGCAGAGACATGGAGCTAAATATGCCTGACAGTGTGTTCAGAACTCGCTTAAGTGCAGCCAGAGTTTTATGAAGACAAGTTTGTCTGGTCAGGGCCAAGCTAGGAAGAGCTTGAATGGCAGATGACAGAGTTTGAACTCCACCCTCTTTAGGCAGGGGCAGCCACCAGTGGTTTGGATCAGGGAAGTTGTATATAATGCTGTTTTAGGAGAAGGAATCTAGAAATCTATTAGATGATTTAGAATAGAACAGAGGATAGACAGGGAATTAAAAGATGCTGAAATATGGAGAAAATAATTCAATATGAGCATAACATGTGGTACAGACAACAGTGAAAGTGACATGTCTGCACCAAGGCAGGAAGGAGGAGGAGATAACCTAGAAAGGAGAAGCGGACCTGTGGGCAGCCAGCCTGGATTTCTGGGAGATGCTCCTGATAAAGGCACACAGACACCCCTCTGTCCATGGCCTGCCCCCACACTGGGCCTCCAGTGGCTCTACTAGCCTCCAGGCTGACCCCCCTACCCCCCATAATTCATCCTCACCAAACCAAGAATCTCCCCTTCTGGCCAACTATGGAGAGAGGCTGTGATTCCCACGGTCCTTCTACTTTGGAGCATAGCTCCACACCATCTGCCAGTGACCCCTTTAACAGAGGGAAAATGACTCCTGTTCCTCGTTTAGAGCCTAAAGGAAAATTCCTTTCTGAGGCAGAATTTTATTGTGAATGTCATTCTATCAATGTAAGTGACTATTTTCAAGTCTTTTAAAATTCTGATTAGAAGCAAAGGAGATTTTTTCCCCCCCATCCTCACCCAAAGACATACTTACTGATTTTAAAGAGAGAGGTAGGGAGAGAAACATTTATGTGAGGGAAACATCAATCAGTTTCCCCATCTTATATACCCTGACCCCAGGATGAGCTGCAAGCTAAGTATGTGCTCTGACCAGGAATCGAACCCACAACCTTTCGGTTTACAGGACAATGGTCCAACTGAGCCACCTGGCCGGAGCCAAAGGTGAGATTTTAAAGGACATGGAAAAACTGCTATCTGAAGTTGTCAAAGATACCTTTGCACAGACATAAATAGAGGATGAAGCAAGAAGTAAACAGAACAGAAAACATGCTTATGGAGCTCTTCCACCTTTGCTTAAAACTGACTGTTAACCATGAGAGAAAGATGAGGCAAGATTTGATCAGGCATTTGGGTCATATATTTGCAAAGGCTCCCCCTTCTGCCTCATGATACTGCATGTTTTTAAGTGGTTTTGTTTACTGAGCAAAGGATCAGGTTGTTAGGACATCTTAATGATGCTCCATTAATTCTGTACTAGAAATTCTATATAGATGGGACTGCTGATTTATCGAGAACTCAAAGAATCCACTTAGCATCTTCTGTCTACATCTTCTAGGCAAATATACAATGAAAGTAGCCCCTTTTGAAATCATTTCTCTAGCTTAAGAAAGGATTTCAAAACATTAATTGATCAAAATAAAAATGTAGTGTCCAATAACTTTATGTTCTTTAAATTTTTTCTTACCAGGAATCTTTAAAAATACAATAAGCAAGTTTAATGACAAGGAAGAGGCCATTATTTTGGAAATTCAATCTGACATATTACTTATCTTGTCTGGTCTTTGTGAAAATAATGTTCCTAGAAAGGTATGTATGCCCATGAACCAGAGTTTTGTTTAGATCGCCTGATCACCTAATTATAAACTTTTTCACTAAGTGTCCATAGATGTTGGTGTTCTTTAATCTTGGGAAGATTTGATTTAATATTCTTTTGTATAAGGTATAATTATATACAGTAAAGTGTATAGATGTTAAGTGTATAGTTTAGTAGGTTTTGACAAATTTATACACTCATTCAACCAATGCCGTCATTAAAATACGGAATATTGTCATCTCCCTCTGAAATTCATTCATGCCTCCCTAGCAGTCATCCTCCCACTGGCTCAGGGAAACCGCTATTCTGAATTCTATCCCCATAAATTAGTTTTACCTATTTTTTAACCTTGTATTAATGGAATCATAGTATTTACTCTTTTATATCTGGTTCCTGTCATCTAGCCATCGTGTTTCTGAAATATATCCATGTTGCTGCATGTATCAGCTCATTCCTTTGTATTGCCTGAATAGTATTTCATTATATGAATATGCCTACATCTGTTTCTGCATTCCCTTATTCATAAACACTTAGGTTGTTTTTCTTTGGGACTATTACATATAAAGCATCAAGGAATATTATTGTACTAGTCTTTTTGTGGACATAATGCTTTCATGTCTTTTGGGTAAATTACTAGTAGTGTAGTAGATGGTCATAAAGTAGGTGTAGGTTTTTAAGAAACAGGCAAACAGTTTTCCTTGGTGAGTTGTACCATTATAAATACTGTTTGGGTTTGAATCAGGTTCATACATAAAACTGTAAGTTAGAAAAAGAACTAATTTCCTTTGATCTTTTTTACTCCGTAGCACACTCTGAGTCTTAGAAATTGATAACTTAAATAGCAAGAGACAGAATTGGAAAGATAAAAATAAAAGCCATGAAGATTTCAATAACAGGATTTTAGAGAGAGGCACCAGGAACAACAAATGCATCCTTAGCTCCGAGCTCTGGTGCAGCTTCTCCTTACGTTCCACCACTCTGTGCCTGTGCTCTTCTGGGAAAATACTCAGTCTTGCTTGTTGGGAACTAGAACTGAACAGTAAGGCAATGAGAAAGATAATTACCTCTCTCTGTGTCCCTAGTAAGAGACAAATATTAACTAGTAATAATTTCATATAAATTATTAAAGTTTTGCCCTGGTTGGTGTGGCTCAGTGGATTAAGTGCTGGCCTGCAAACCAAAGGGTCGCTAGTTCAATTCCCAGTCAGGGCACATGGTTGTGTCACCAGCCAGGTCCCCAGTTGAGGGCACATGAGAGGCAACCACACATTGATATTTCTCTCCCTGTCTTTCTTCCTCCTTTCTCCTCTCTAAAAATAAATAAATTAAATCTTTAAAAAAATTATTCAAGTTTTAATGACCATTTATATATTAATTTTTCTTCGGGGAGCATTAGAAAAATCTTCTATGATAGAATTTTCTCCTCTTAAATTACTGGTTACTGTCTAGTATTCATCTGACATGATGACTGACTACCTTCATTATACTGCAGAAGAAAATTCGAGGACAAGTCTTACAGCTTATTTTTCTATAAGAGAGAAAGGGAAAAGACATATAAAGGAACATTAACTGGTCTATTGATTGATGCTCTCTCTTAACATGATTCACTTTACAGTAGTTTGTCTTAAATTCCTGATAACAAGTGAGTACAAATTCAGAAACAAAAATCTGTATTAAAAGTACTGTTTTCCTAAGTCAGGCAGTGACAGACAAATACCATATGATCTCACCTTTAACAGGAACCTAATCGACAAAAAAAACAAGCAAGCAAAATATAACCAAAGACACTGAAATTGAGAACAGGCTGACAGTGACCAGAGGGGAGAGGGGAGGGGATTATAGTGGAAAAGGATGAAGGGTTTGTAGGAACAAGTATAAAGGACACATGGACAGTAACAAGGGGGGTGGAAATGGGAGGGAGGTGGGGAGGGCTGGGGGGTCTGAGGGGTGGAGAGAGGGAACTGTACTGGAACAACAATAAATTTTAATTTAAGAATTAAAAAAAGTTCCAAATTGAGGAAATACCTTCAAGGTTTGTCTGGGTAGCTTATAAAAAAAGAAGATGGGGGTAAAATTATTGGAAAAGCATCTCACAGAACAAAAGATAGAGAAAACAGCCAAGTTTCAGAGAAACCAAAGCAAAGGCAGGACAGCCCACAGGAGCCCCGGAGCCCTCTGGCTCTCATTTCAGTCGTGCATGGGCTTGGGTCTTTGCTTCTCTCTTCAGTTCGTTGCCTCCCTAAATAAATTGTTCCATTGATGTAAAAAATAAATAAATAAAAATAAAAATACGATTTTTCCTAACAATGTGTATTTATCTGCTTTAAAAAAGTTTTAGGGGGCAGGGTAAAATGGTAAAGGAAGGGATTGTTTATTTCAAGAAATAATTTTAAATAACTCTCTTAGGAAATTTTTGGAACTGAAGGAGTGGATATAATTCTTCACGTAATGAAAACAGACCCAAAGAAGTTTCAGAGTGGATTAGGCTATAGTGTGCTTCTCTTCAGTACATTGGACAGCATTTGGTGAGTATTACTGCACCCAAGTTAGATGGGATCACAAGAAAATTACCTTGAGCGCTGTGTATGCCAATTTTCTTCTCTCGGTGCCTTTTTTTTCAATAGTCTAGAAGTGAGACTTAAAAATGTCCTTTAGAAGGTAATATTGTCTGTCACTCAAATATAAACTTCTTGTATCCAAACTTAAATTCTTGTTATTGTGATTTGAACCCATTCCATTCTGGCCTAGTCTGGGAAAACACTAGCATCTATTATTACTCATACACTGTTATTCTTATTCTTGAAGACTGTTGAATTCTTCATTTATTTTTTCTTCTCTGAGTTGAAGACCAATCGATGAGGTATTTCCTAACCAATATTGTTTTCCAAACTTTGTAGCATTTCTAAGGGTAGAAAAATATTGCTTTTCTTAATATTAGTTTACAAAACTTTGTCTTGGAGAAAATTAATTGAGTTTTATATACCATTAGTACCTAATATATTTCTCTAGTTTTATTTAGGTGGTATTCATGAAAGCCACACTATAACACATTGTAAAAACACTAATGAGACCATAGATCAAATGAACCTAATAGATATATACAGAATATTCCACCTATTAGCAGCAGAATACATATTACTTTCAAGTGTTGTGATATTGTGATTTATAATAAGGTATATAGATTTGTTCAATTGCTAATACCAAGTTCCTGAAACACTTGTAATTTCTAAGTCAATGAAAGCAATGGGAGCATCTGTTGTTATAACATTTGGTCTTTCATTCTCAGTTCCTATAATAGCTCCAGAGCAATAAATATTTTGTGATTCATAACAAGTCCTTTTCAATCACATATGAGTTCACGTTAACAAGATGTTTTCTGGGACGCCTCTAGATAGCAACTGAATGGGGCACTGGTTGCCAGAACCACCAACCACATAATCGATTAGAGAGTTGAAATTTCACCCCCACCCTCAGCGTCCAGGCAGGGAGAGAGACGGGTGAATGAGTTTAGTAACCTATGGCTAATGATTTAATCAATTATGCCTACTTAATGAAGCATCCATAAAAACCCTAAAGTACAAGACTGAGAGCTTCCAGCTTCCTGAACAAGTGGTTTCTGTGGATGGTGTGGAGCTTCTCCCATTCCTAGTGCTGTGCACCTCTTCCATCTGGCTGTTTCCAGGTTGTATGCTTTTATAACAAAACAGTAACCTAGTAAGGACACTGTTCCTTAGTTCTATGAGCCTCTATAATAAATTTTCCATTTCAAGGAGGTGTGGAACATCTAATATATAGCTGGCTGGTCAGAAGCACGGTTGGCAACCTGGCCTGGAATCCAAGGTGGGGCCAGGGAGGCAAGTAGTCTTATGGGACTGAGCCCTTCACCTCCGGGCTCTGGTGCTAATTCCACACAGAAAGTGTCAGAATCGAATTGATTATGGGACACCCAGCTGGTGTCTGCAAAGAATTAGAGATTTGGTTGGTGTGGGAAACAACCCACATATTCGGTGGCCAAAAGTGAGTTATTGAGAGTATAGTGTTAAGGGGGACACAGAGTTTGTTTTATTTTATTTTGTTTTAACAAGCACACATGCAATATTCTCTATGGCAAGCCATGTGCCAGGTCACAAAATAAGCTTTAACAAATTTTAGAAGACAGAAATCATTTCCCATATCTCTTCCAGCTACAGTGGAATAAAACTAGGAATCAATAACAAAAGGAAATCAGAAAAATTCACAAATTAAACATCAAAATTAAACATCAAAGTCTTGAAATAACCATTGGGTCAAAGACAAAAACAAAAGGACCAGAAGGGAAATTAGGAAATTTCTCAAGATAAACTAGGATGGAAAGACCACACACCAAAACTTATGTAATACAGCAAAAGCAGTTCTGACAGGGAAGTTTGCAGTGATAAATGTACACATCGCAAAAGAACAAGGATCTGAACACCTGAACTTTACACCGTGTAGAACCAGAAAGCAAGGTACAAAATAAACTGTAACTAGCAGAAGAAAAAAATAATAAGGATTACAGCAGGTAAATAAAATAGATAACAGAAAAAAAGCCAACAGAACTAAGTTGTTGTGGTTTTTTTTGGAAAGATAACAAAATCTACAAACCTTTACCCAGACTAGGGAAAAAAGGTAGAAGACAAATAAAATAGTAAATGAAAGAGAAGACATCACAACAAATGCCACAAAAAGATTATAAAGTACAATTATAAGTAAATATATGCCAACAAATTAGACAGCATAGAAGAAATGGGTAAATTCCTAGAAACATACGACCTACCAAGACTAAGTCAAAAAGAACTAGAAAAGCTAGACAGATCAATAACAATAAAGAAGACTGAATCGGCAGTCAAAATCTCTCAACAAAAGTCCAGGACTACGTAACTTCACTGGTAAATTTTACCAAATATATATAATTATTGGTATTAATCATCAATACCTATCCTTCTTAAACTCCTCCAAAACAATAGAAGAGAGGATATTTCCAAATTCATTTTAGGAGAACAGTGTCACCATTATACTAAAGTCAGACAAAGACACTAAGAAAAAATTATAGACCAGTATTCCTGATGAATACAAATATAGAAATCCTCTAAAATATATTAGCAAATGGAATTCAACATCACATTAAAAGGATCACACACCGTGACAGATCGGGATTTATCCCTAGGATGCAAGAATGGTTCAGTATATGCAAAGCGATCAGTGTGATACACCACATTAACAGAATGAAGGAGAAATTACATATTCTTCTCAATAGATGCAGAAAATACATTTGACAAAATTCAACATGCTTTCATGATGAAAACTCAATTAAATTAGGTAGAGAATGAACTTATCTCAATAAATCAAGGCCATATATAAAAAGCCTACCACTAACATCACACTCAGTAGTGAAAAGCTGAAAACTTTTCCTCAAGGTCTCTAACAAGGCAAGATCGCCCACTCTCACTACCTCTATTCAATATGTACTATAAACTCTAAATAAAAGGTACCCAAATCAGAAAGGGGAAGTAAAATTACCAGTTTGCAGATGACATGATCTTATACGTAGAAAACTGTACAGGCTCCAGCACCATTAGAACTACTCGGCTTTCATCCAAATACACATAGGCAATGGGACTAATCAGCTATCTCATTTCTTTTTTACTATAGAGAAGAGCGATAGAGTGACAACATGAAAACCTGATCTTCAGTTTTAGTGGCAGATTTTTATTGACCAAAGCACTGTATTAAGCATAGTAAAATATTCAGAGATGAGTATTAATAAGTACTACCTTTACTATCTCCCAATATATTGGGATTCAGATGTTACTGCAGAAAATGTCTTGATGTTTTCTTCCTTCTTTAGTCCATCACAATCATACTGAGGTAAAAATTAATAGATTATGGCTTTATTTATCTCTGTCTTTGACTATAACAATCTCAAATCCTTTGGATAAGAGATAAGGTAGAAATAACAAATAAGTAATAAGTAAGTTCAGTGTTTAATTGGTGATAGCAGCCATCTCTTTTTCCTCTTCTCAGGAACTTAAACTGAGGTGAGTTCTAGAATGTAGTTAACATTGATGTAATAAAACAAGTTAGGAAGTATTCTTTCTTTCATACATTTTTTAAAAGATTTTATTTATTTATTTTCAGAGAGGGGGAGGGAGGGAGAAAGAGAAGGAGAGAAACATCAATGTGTGGTTCCCTCTCACATGGCCCCCTACTGGGAACCTGGCCCACAACCCAGGCATGTGCCCTAGACTGGGAATCAAACCAATGACCCTTTGGTTTGCAGGCTGGCACTCAGTCCACTGATGCACACCAACCAGGGCAGAAGTATTCTTTCTTTTATATTCCTTTTTAATGAATTCATTGGGGTCACATTGGTTAATAATAATATGTTTAAGTATACAATTATATAATACATCATCTGTATATTGTATGTTCACTGCCCCATCTTTTATATTCTATAGAAAGTATTTGTGTAAGGTTGTTGTTATATATTTCTTAAATAATTAGTGGAATTTACCAGTTAAGTCATGCGTCACTAGAATGTAGTTTTCAGAAAGGTTCTGCAATATAGTTTTCATTTCTTTAATATGTAATATAATAACATGTCTGTTAAGATTTTTATTTCTTCTTATGAGGATGCTGATAAGATGTACTTTTCTGGCCAATACACTTTGTCTTCTTGCACAACTAAAAGAAGAACAGTAACAAATTTAAAAACAAAAAATAACCAGCACTGCCAGAAAATCAAACTGTATGGAAGTCTGACAACCAACGAGTTAAAGAAGAAACATTCGTTCTGCCTGGTAGGAAAGGCAGAGACCAGCACCCATGGCGGCGAGGACACAGGGAAACCAGTGGCTGGAGGAACGGGTGTCCCACATTCCTGTGAAGATAAACCAGGAGGAACAACTAGGGAGTAAGACAGACCACGCAACCCAGGGTTCCAACACAGGAAACTACAGCCTCAAAATCTCTGGCTGTTAAAACCTGTGGGAGTTGGGGTGGCAGGAGAAACTCCCAACCTCACAGGAGAGTTCATGGGAGAGACCCACAGGGTCCTAGAATGAATACAAGCCCACCCACCTGGGAATCAGCACCAGAAGGGCCTGATTTGCTTGAGGCTATTGGGGGAAGTGACTGAAAGAAGGCCAGGAGCCGTGCAAGCAGCGTTGTTCCCTCTCGGACCCCTCCCCCACATGCAGCACTACAAAGCAGCAGTGGAGTTGTCCTGCCCTGGTAAATATCCAAGGCACTGCCCTTTACTACATCACAGGGGAGCCTAGACAAAAAAATAGAGCCCAAATGAAAGAACAGATCAAAGCTCCAAAAATAGAACTAAGCAATGAAGAGATAGCCAGACTATCAGATGCAGAGTTCAAAACACTGGTAATCAGGATGCTCACAGAAATGGTTGAGTATGGTCACAAAATAGAGGAAAAAGTGAAGGCTATGCAAAGTGAAATAAAGCAAAATATACAGGGAACCAACAGTGAAGGGAGGAAAACCAGGACCCAAAGCAATGGTTTGGACCAGAAGGAAGAAATAAACACTCAACCAGGAGAGAATGAAAAAACAAGAATTCAAAAAAATGAGAGGCTGAGGAAACTCCAGGACAACTTTAAATATTCCAACATCCAAATCATAGGGGTACCAGAAGAAGGAGAGGAAGAGCAACAAATTGAAAACTTATTTGAAGAAATATGAAGGAGAACTTCCCCAATCTGGGAAGGAAATAGACTCCAGGAAGTCCAAGAAGCTCAGAGAGTCCCAAAGACATTGGACCCAAGGGACACGCTGAAGCACATCATAATTAAGTTACCCAAGATGAAAGATAAGGAGAGGATCTTAAAAGCAGCAAGAGGAAAGGAGAGAGTTACCTACAAAGGAGTTTCCATAATACTCTCAGCTGATTTCTCAAAAGAAATCTTACAGGCAAGAAGGGGCTAGAAAGAAGTATTCCAAGTCATGAAAGGCAAGGACGTACATCCAAGATTACTCTATCAAGCCAAGTTTTCATTTAGAATGGAAGGGCAGGTAAAGTGCTTCCCAGATAAGATCAAGTTCAAGGATTTCACCATCACCAAGCCCTTATTATATGAAATGTTAAAGGGATTTAATGTAAGAAAAAGATAAAAAATAGGAACAGTAGAATGACAACAAACTCACAACTATCAACAACTGAACCTAAAAAAAACAAAAAGTAAGCAAACTAGAACAGGAACAGAACCACAGACATGGAGATCACTTGGAGGGGTATCAGCAGGGAAAGGGAGGGGAGGAATGGGGGGAAGGTACAGGGAATAAGTAGCATAGATGGTAGGTAGAAAATAGAGATTAAGAATAGTATGGGAAATGGAGAAGCCAAAGAACTTCTGCGTACCACCCATGGACATGAACTGGAGAGGGGTGGGAATTCTGCTGGGAGGGGGATGCAGGGTAGAGGGAAATAAAGGGAAGGAAAAATGGGACAACTGTAATAGCATCATCAATAAAATATATATTTTTTAAATGTTCTTTCACAGGGATTTGTTTATTTTGTCTAAATTTTCAAATTTACTGCCATGTGGTTGTTTGTAATGTCCTCTTGGTATCTTCCTTGTCTGTAGAATACATGATGCCTCTTCTTTTTTTCCTGACATTAGTCATTTCTTCCTTCTCTCCATTATTTTTCCCTGATGGTTTTCACCAGGAGTTAATCAATAATTACTAAACTAGCCTTTTCAAGGAATGAATTTGTGTGCTTTGTTGATTCTGTTTTATATTACTTTGTATTTCATTAATTTCTATGTTCTTTTTCTTTCATTCCATTATACCTTTCCTATTTCTTGCGATGGATGCTTGGATCATAGATTTTCAACCTTCTGCTCTATATTCTGCTCTAATATATCCAAGGCTGTAAATTCTCTAATCATATGGTTTTAGCTCCAACTCTGTTTAAATATGTTCTATTTTGTCAACATTAAGTTTAAATTATTTTCTAATTTTCATTGTGATTTTCTTTTTTGACCCTTGGGACATTTAGAAGTATATGGTTTCATTTCTGAACAGATGAGACTGTTGTATTTTTTTCTTTTGTTCTAATTGTTGTGAATGAAACAGGTAGAAATCAGCCCATAATAGGCATCTGCAAGTACTAACTCAAAAGTAGGAACAAAATGAGGTGGTAAAACCTGGAACCACTGAGTGGGAGGGGCCAAGCTGATGGCCTTCATGCACCAACCCCTCAACCACCACCACCAACACCCACACCCACACCCATTAAAAAAACAGGCAGGAGAAACAAGGATCTCTCTCATTTTTTTTTAAGAAGGGGACGTATTAAATAATTGACTTAATACTGAACCATAAATAATTAAGTAATAGCCATAGGAAATAGGAATGTGACACGAAGTTGACTCCGGCAAGCCTGGGAGAAAGAAAAGAGACCAGCCTCTGTTACTCTGTAGAAGCAGCAGCAGCAGCAGTGGCTTGTTCAGCCGGGATCCATCCCCCACCCAGGAGAACACTGAAAGCAGCCCCTGCTGCATCTTCAACCCCACACTCCCTGTAAACTGCAGAGGCCTAGGCAGCAGGCACCTTAGCAAATAATCTCAACTGCAAAGATGACATGAAATTAAGAATCATCAGGTAAGTATACCAACCCTGTGAAAGAGACAGTGAATGGATACACCTTGAAGAAACAGTTACTGGAGTAGCCCAGAGGAGACCTTTAAGAATAATATCATGAAAGCAAAGGAGCGTATTGTGTCTATAGAAAGGAAATAGGCAGTTATGAGAAAGAATTGATACTGGTTAAACTACACTGACAAAGTCTTTTCAAAATTCAGTTTTTAAGCAAAAAAAATTACTTGAGTTCAGGAAATGAGGAAAAATACTTTGAAAAAACTTTTGATAGAAATAACCTGACAAATTACTTTAACAGTAAGTCCTTGTTAAATGAATGGCTTCCTTTTTATTTAAGGTGCTGCATTTTGGCTTGTTATGCCTCAGAGGATTACTTTCTTGAAAAAGAAGGCATTTTTCTTCTTTTGGACTTATTGGCAGTAAGTACGATGATTATAACTGTTGTGAAACAAAAATATCCTTATTAACCTTTCCAAACTGAGTCCCACAAAACATTATTCTGTAATTAAATGTGTCCCCACCATGTTCAGATGTTTGTTTTAGTTGAAATCCCTCTTGGGGATTCATAACACACATGGAAGGCTCTGAAAATCCCTCCCGTGGAGAAGTCAGTTTGTTTAGGACCGTGTTCTCAAACACATGACAGCAGAGAATATGTTCCCCCCCAACTTTTAAAGAAATAGTTTGTGCAGTGGTAGACTATATCAAAACCTATCATTTTTATTAATAACTTTTAGCTTCTTTTCGTAGTATTAAAAGTTAAGGGCCACATTAACAGAAGGAGTAAAGATCAGCGTTTTTTAAGAACTGTATAATTTGGAGGTGCTGTGAAGAAGCTAGTGTGTCATGGACCATTGTACAGAAAAAGCAGGAGGGAGCATAGTAAGCCTTCCAGGGGGTTGCCAGTTAGCAGCTGGGAGGATTGGCAAAGGCCCTGATTTACCCTCAAAGTAACCCCCTACTGGCCTTAGTGATAAGTGAGTCACCCATAGGCAGGATAATATGGGGAGAAAAGGGTAATTTTGTTTTAACAGCACTTGGGAGATCCTCTCACAGAGTTCTAGTGTGTCACTGTTGATCGCCACCATTCTTGATTTTATTAACAGAATAACGGACCTACTTTGATGTAGCAAAGGTACTAAAGGTATATGAGTTCTTCCATCTCTTTGAAAAAAAATTAGTTGAATGTAAACTGTAATTGAAAAAATTTTTTTAAAAACTCAACTAGGAAAAAGGATAAATAAATAAATGACTTTAAAAAAATAGCACTGGCTGGTTTGGCTCGGTTGGAGTGTCATACTGTAAACTGAAAGGTGAAGGGTTCGATTCTGGATCAGGGCACGTATCTTGGTTGCAGATTTGGTTGCAGGTTGAGGCGCGTACGAGAAGGAATTGATTAATGTTTTCTCACATCGATGTTTCGCTCTCTCTCTTTCCTCCCCTCTCTCTAAAAATCAATAAGCCACCGGATGAGGATCTAAAAAATGAGTTGCACTAGGGATAAGATTTCATTAGATGTAAAACACTACAAACAAAAATAAGTGAATAATAATCGTAATAATAATTAAAGTATCCCACCTTGAGAAACAGGAGTGAGTCATAACCAGGAATCCTTGGAAAGGTCAGAGGATTAAACATGTACAGAAAAATCTGTGTAGCTCCACTAATGGCCGAAGGGATGCACAGCTCCCGTGTTTCTCTGAGTGCAGCACAGATGTGCCCAGAGGCACGGGTGACGTGTCAGGGCATTCTCAAACTTCCTAAATTAATTCGGCACATCTTCCCGGAACCTCACTTTTACCTAAATATTTGGAAGTGAGGAGTTGTATTAAATGTATACATGTATTAAATACTTAAATTTTATATTAATATTAAAGTTTGGGTAGAAGGCTTCAAAGACATTTCTCACTTGTGTTCACTCTCATTCACCATTAGGATTTCTTCCATGGAAAGATACACAGGCTGGTAGGAAAAGTCATATAGCACAGGAGTTGTGAGCGTAGGCTGGAATCCACTACTTGTTAGCTGTGTAACCTGGACAGCTTATTTAACATCTCTGATACCAATTTCTTCAAAACAAATAATTCTGTACACCTCACACTCTATTGGGAGGGTTTTGAGTGATTATGTTTATACACACACGTGCACATACATACGTATATATGTGTATATACATATATATGAGGTATGTCTGGAAGAAGTCCAGCCATTGTTAATACAGTGAGAACAGTTTGCGGGACATTGATGTAACCTGACAGCCCAGGGGACTGAAGCGGAATGCACATGTGTGAACAATGACGACTTCACTGTACCTGGTCAGTGGGGGTGGTAGATGCCAATGAATAACCATGTGTACTGTGTGGCCTCACATTCAAAATGATTGAGCAAGTAGAGCAATAAATCCACACCAAATTTTGTATTAAGCTTGAATATTCCTCTGTGGAAACTATTCAGATGATTCATAAGGCTGTAGCTATGAGCAACTGGTGATGGGCAGCTTCATCATGACAGTGTGTCCACTCATGCATCACGTCTCATGCAGAGTTTTTTTTGTGAAATATCAAATCATCCAGGTCACTCAGTCCCCCTACATCCCAGATTTGGCTCTCTGTGACTTCTGGATTTTCCTAAAACTAAAATCACCTTTGAAAGGGCAGAGATTTCAGACCATCAATAAGATTCAGGAGAATACGACAGGACAGCTGATGGCAATTGGGAGATCTGTATGAGGTCCCAGAAGGCCTACTTTGAAGGGGACTGAAGCGTCATTGTCCTATGTACAGTGTTTCTTGTGTCTTCATAAATGTCTCTTTTTTATATAATATGGCTGGATACCTTCTGGACAGACTGCACATATATACACTTTATGTTTTTATATATATAAAGATCTCTCTTATATATATATGCATATATATATGCATATATATATATGCAGTGTTATTCTAACATTAGTTAAAAATAGTTTCTGACACATTTTTGCTGTGTTGTTCTGCTGTTATAGTTATTGAATTGTGCTTAATGTAGTTTGAACCAGTCAAGTTAAATTATAATTATAAACATTCTTTAATTAAGTTTATATGTTAACTTTAACCCTTCTCCTAAAAGTGGAGTATAGAAATAACTCATTTTATTGATAGTTCTGCTTAACATAATCTGTAAAAACATTGGCGTGGCCAAAAAGTCCATTTAGCTTTTTCCGTAAAGTGAAAGACACCTTTTTCATTTTCACCAATAACTTTATTGATTATATTTTTTAGTATGTGGGTGGCTCCCTCCCGCTATTGGCATCCAGGGGTAGAGGCCAGGGGTGCTGTGAAACATCTTTCAATGCGTAAGACAGCCCCACGGCAAAGAATTATTTAGGCAAAATGTCAGTAGTAACAAGAAACTTTGCAAACTGTTTTTGACACATTTGTTCAGTCACAGCACCTTCTTCAAACACTGCACAATTCTTTTTTTGCATTTTAGTTGAGTTTTTACCTTGCTTGAAATAATAAAGCATAATACACCAAAAATATTGTGTATCTTCATCTTCAATATTAAAATGGCTGCACAAAAATTCACCAGTTTTGATAAGGCTTTTTTTTAATGCACACTGATATAACAGCTGTCACAATACAATCTATTATTTTAAATGAAGTTGAAGACAGCTAAGCACTACAAGAGCCATCATACGGAAAAAACTAAATAAACTTTTTGGCCAACCCAATGTTTATTCAGTGTACAATAGTTGCTAATAGTAGTTAAATATTACTGAGAGGTTGTTATGTGACAGGCAGTTTCATGTAACTCATCATAATAACTCTCTAAAGCAGGTAAATATTATTTGCCTTTATTTGACCAAAGAGGAAACTGATGATGTTTATCATTCAAACAACAGGTTACGCGTTTCCTGTTCCGTTCTATTAGCAGTGCGCTGGAAGAGCTACCCATTTAAAAAGTGTGTCACACAGAAACCATCACTGCGATGGCCATCACAAGTGGCCATTGCTCTGCACCACTTTTCTCTACATAAACTTTGGTGTGCTGGAAACTGGTTTAACAAAACAAAGGAATTATGCTTGAAAATGTTTCTTAAATTCTCAAATACTCTTATGGATGCTGCTTTTCAAAATATAAAATTATACCTCATTTAGAGTTATTTTCATACGTGACTATCACTTGCAGTTACCATCTGTTCTTAGTAGTGATGAGGTTGCAGCTACTGTGAAGCATTACAAACATTAAAGCATGTCGATTGGAAAGATCCTGTAACTACGGTGACTTGTACACAGCGCTGGTTACCTTGCTCCACCTAAAATGAACATCTTTACTTACTGTTGCATGCTCTCTTCTTCCTAGTCAACCAGACCAGTTACATTTTTGGTCACGATGTATGTTTGTAACTAATCAGGATTACATTGAATCTTTTTTCTTTTAAATTTCTACTAGTTGAAAATTTATTCATTACAATGGACATCTGTTGTGGTGTCTTTTTTATCCTCACTGAAGATATTTTTTCATTGCTTTCAGAGAGTGAGGAAGGGAGAGAGAAACTTCAGTTTGTTGTCTTCCCTAAGCACCCCGACTGGGGATTGAATCTGCAACCTAGGTGTGTGCCTTGACCCAGAATCGAACTGCAGCCTTTCAGTTAAGGGAGGGTGCTCCAGCCAACTGAGCCACACTGGCCAGTGCAGTGAACATCTGTTTTAATAGGAGGTTAGCACAAATCATACTTAAGTAGGGTTTCAGTTGTATAAGGCAATCATTTAGAAGAAACTTATTAATGCATATGTTTCTCCTTTTTTAAGGTAATAGTCTTAATATTTATTGCACCTTTTTTTCTTTTTCTGTTTCTTGCAAAAGTTGAACCAAAAAAAATTTTGTAATCTAATACTTGGAATAATGGTTGAATTTTGTGATAATCCCAAAACTGCGCCTCATGTCAACACTTGGCGGGGGAAGAAGGACCAAACAGCTGCCAGCCTTTTAATTAAATTGTGGAGAAAGGAAGAAAAAGAACTGGGAGTAAAGCGTGATAAACATGGAATGATTATTGGTGAGTGTATTTATAATCATTAGTTCAAGCGATTAGATGCATATTTTTAAAAAGAGATCTTTAAAAGAGTAGTAAAGTAATGGACACAAATTACAGTGTGGCGGTTACCAGAGAGGGATGGGGGCAGGATGAAGAAGTCAGATGAGTGTATGTGACTTCCGGGAGCTCTGATACATTGGTGCCCGAGGGAGGCTAGACTTCGTGATGAGCCCACAATGCAATATACAGATGATGCGTTACAGAATTTTAAACTTGAAACTTATATAATGTTATTAATAACACATATAATGTTTTATTAACTTACATAATATTACCCCAGTAAATTTAGTTTGAAAAAAATTAGATATTAGAAAAGGACTTTCACCCCTTTCTTTAAAGTTCTTTCATAGGGGCTTATGATCATAAAAGTTAAACATTTTAGTGGCAGATTCATATTTTTATAGAAATTTTTAGGAATGGTATTTGATTATATTCTTTAACTTGAAAAAACTAACAGTACTTCCTAAAGAAGTTTCTCTGGGTTACCTGCTTTTACAAATAGATTCAGTAATATTTCATTTGCCAACAAAATTTGGGATGTAAATAGAGTACTTGAAAACAATTTTATACATTTTCATTGATTCATATTTATATAATTTACTTTCTACATGAAGAAACTTTTCTAAATAAAAGTAAATGAAATGTTTCATAAATTGTAATTACTAGATTTGAAGTTAATAAAGTTCATAGTATCAGTATTTATAGTTCATTTATCTAGTCCACAGTGCTACATTACATTTCCTAAACCTCTCAATATTCTTCCTCTGGTTTCATCTAAACTGTTGGTATTACTTACTTATTTTTTATCCTCACCCAAGGACATATTTATTGATTTTAGAGGGAGAGGAAGGGAGAGAAAGAAACAGTGATGTGAGAAACAGCGGATGTGAAAGAGAAACATTGATCAGTTCCTCCCATACAGGCCCCAGTGGGGGGCGGAACTGCAGCCTAGTTCACACCCTGACCAGGAAGCAAACTCGGAACCTTCTGGGGTAGGGGGTGATGCTTCAACCAAGTGAGCCGCCCGGCCAAGGCAGCATTATTTACTTTTAAATGAAAAGACTTCTGCTTTCACTTCTGATGATTTCTGTCCTCGATCTGAGTTTATTATGTCTGAGTTTTGATCTGTCACATCATAAAATAGTTTTTATATTTACAGCATAAAGTGTAGAAACCAAAAGCAAAGGAGATACATCATTGTGAAAACTGACATTGTTCAAAGTCTGGATTTCAAAGTTAGTAAAGTCACATAAGAGTTTCATTCTTTAAAACAATTTTGTGAAATTTTCATATTTTACTAAATGATAAAAATGAAAACTGTAAGTTTTGCCACAGAATGGGGAAGAAACCACAGGTTACAGGTTACTTATGCTTTCAAAAGAGTAACCATCTGCAAGGCACTGTTTTACTGTGCTATATAATGTTTTCATGTATTTTATGATGTCTGGACTAAAATCTCAACATTAAGTATTAATTTACTATGGTTTTTATCTATTCCTTCTGTTTTTATGACATCTGATTATTAGATACAAAGAGGCCTCTATTTACTAGTTTTCAAGAGGAGCAGAAAGTCATGCCACTGCCTGCCAACTGCCCGACTGTCGCCGTCATGGACGTGGCCGAGAACATCAGAGCAAAAATCTACGCTGTGCTGGGCAAACTGGGTAAGAAGCTGCTCGCAGGTTCACAGGAGCCTCTCTGTTTTGCCAAGTATGTGAGCTGATTTTGCTTTGGAGCCCATTTTTCAAAGATGATGAACGAAAGTCCTTTTATCCAGAAAAATGCGTGTGCCATCTTTATCCCAGTGTCCAGACTACACCCCCGATCAATTACATCAAGGTGTGGGGGACCCAAAAGTGGTATTTTTAAATCTCCTCAGACAGTTCCAGTGTGCAGCCAGGATTAAAGAAAGGTAGTGTAGATGACTTGACTTAAACAGTAGATTCTAAATCATGAGGGTTTTTTTTTTAAGACCTTGATTTTTTTAAGGAAGAAGTCCTCACCATTGGGGTTCCCACAGTACAGGGTCACAGCCTGACCGCAGCACAGAAAGTACTCCTCTGTAATGACTAGATAAGGACCACCTGAGGTTGTCATAGCAGGTTTGTTATAGGAGGAAGTCAGAAGCTCACAGAGGAACTTTTTCATAAAACAAAAAGAGTTCAAAAGTAACTGTTTGCATTTTTTATGATATATTTTTTTAATCACTTGCTCTGTTAAAGTAAGTCTCTCTTTATGAATTTTTGTTTAGATTTTGAAAATTTACCTGGTCTGTCTACTGAAGATTTTGTCACCCTTTGTATCATACATAGATATCTTGATTTTAAAGTGAGTACCTTCTTAACCTGGTTATTAAATATATAGTATGGCAAAAAAATCAATTGGGAAATAAAATACCTGTTTGTGGTTGTAAGCATTCACCCAGGTGAACTGTGCAGTTTTTATTTTTCATTTTGTATATAATACTATTCAAAGCAGCATACAAAAAATAATTGTGTATTTTCAATGGGATAAGATTTCATCCAACTGTTAGTTTATGAAAGAAGATGGATGTTACTGAGAGCTATTAAAAAGCTTCCCAGAATGTTTAAAATATAATTTCTTCTCTTTAGAAAACATTAGAAGCTAGAATTAAGTGAATTGCTTATTAAAATAAATTCTTAATTCTTATTAAAGTATAATTTTATCACTACTTTATGTGATGGTAAAATATCAATTAAAGGAGACTAGGTTGCTTACCTTGCTGGTGATGTTTTAGTAAATAAATGCTTTCAAGTTTCAGGGGTGTCCTTTCAAGTAAATATTTTCTAATAATACTGGGATACTGTATATTTGAATGTTGTAAATGAATAAACTTCTATTTTCAAATGAAAATAAGACTGAATTCATATATCCTATCCTGGATATATAAATTTTTCTTTAAGTTTAAATGTACTCAGGCACATTAATTTTCAGATGGCCCAGAATATGCTATGGAGCTGTCAGCTTGATAGAACCATGGAGTTAAGAGCTTGAGATCCAATTACTGCTGTACCAAGAAGGTGGGGGGGGGGGCGGCGCCCTATTTCTCAAGGTGGCTAGGTTCTAGGGCTCCAGGGATTCCTGGGTTCATTCCTGCGTTCCTGTAAATTCAGCTCGACTCATCCTTCAATACACAGCTTTAGGAAGAAAAACGTCAGTAGTGCAGGGGAATGAGACTAAAGCAGCCGTTTCTGCGGCTGTGAAAAGGGTGACTGTAAACCAGAGGGCAGATGGCAATGACCTAGACTGAGGCAGTGGAGCCCCATCTGTGAATACTTTATCATTGAAAAACGTTTGGTAACTGGTTCTCCAAGTCATTCCCAATGCGCCTACCTTGGAACATCCCTAAGGAGTAAGTTAGGAAAGCTGGTTTGGTAAGTGTTAACTTTGGAACAATAATCAAAATAAAGTATTACTGAAAATCGTACCTTTTATTTTCAGTTAATTTAACTTTTTAAATCTTAAACTTTGTTATAACAGATTGGAGAAATATGGAATGAAATATGTGAAGAAATAAAGTTAGAAAGGTTAATACCAGTCACTACAGATAAAAATGCTTTGGAAGCTATCACAACAGCTTCAGAAAATATTGGAAAGATGGTTGCTTCTCTGCAAAGGGAGATGGTTGAAAGCCAAGCACGTCAAGATGTACAAAATGAACAAAAAGTATATGCAAAAGTAAGCCACGGATACCACTGAGTCACGAGATGATAATTTCGTTGTATAAATTAGTTGAAGGTCTCCATAGGATATATTTGCCATACTTGTGAATGTTTCAGCACTTAAAGTTATTTTGTAGTTTTCTCTTATGTTGCTTTCACTGTCTTTATCCAGTTTTTAAAGTCACGATAGAGTTAAGAGCTTAAAATATTCAGTTACTGTATTCAGTGCTGTTTCATGGCATTGTAATGTGATTTCCACAGGCTTACATTTCAGAAGGTAAAGACACCTGAGACACTTCCCTGTTTTGAAATGTCAAACAGAATTCCAAAATCACTGGCTATTTTAATGTGTACATTTAGCAAATTCTGACAAATGGTGTACCTCTGTAACTCTGGGTATACCTTCACTGGGAGAGTTGCTCCTCGCCCCTGCCCAGCGTGAGCCCTTACCGGTAGGCCAACCACGTAGCGACGAGCGGCATCCTCAGGGCAGTGCCCGAACACTGGGAGCGTCCTCTGAGTCCAGAGGTAGCTGGTCCCTGGCTTTAGCTGAGCAGACAGAGCCTGTGAGGGAAATACAAGCCATTTGTCTGCAACTTTACACAGGTGGGAAAATGACACCTCAGAAGCTTTCGAGCAAACAGGTTGTGGCTGTTGAAATCAACTTGTCCACAGATATAAAGATGACGTTGACTCCCCACTTATGTGTGGTGATCCTTTACAGCTGCAGCTAAATACTTAAAACCCTTTAAGGTGATTTCCAAAGTGTTTCCTACTGCCCGCTCCTTTCATAAAATGTGCATCTTTAGCCCAGTGGAACTCTACCTGCACCTATGAATTTTGTTCTGTTTTAGACACCTCCTTGCTCAAAGTTTCGTTAAGCATTTTTATTGTATGGATGCTGCCATTTAACCCACTTATTTGCTCTTATGTGCGATGGCCCCACTGGAAGTTCTGCTGCCTCCTTAGTCCTGTCGAATGACATAGTGTCTGCTCTGTGGAGCAGCCATTGCCGATAGGCCGGTTATTGTTGCTTTGTTATTATGGCTCTGCCCCACTTATTTTTTAGCAGTCACTTAATTAAATACTCTCAGGTTGGCAATTTAAACTCTTGGTGTGTGTGACTTATCTAATAGTATATTTTATACCGACCAAAGGCATGTGTCCTCTGATTATATATGTAGGGGTAGCCTGTTGCGAAGTATAGTTTTTGCACTGTGCTAGTAGTTACCTCCCTAGACCGCATCACCATAACAGATCAGCACTCTCACAAAATTGTCTAGCCGCAGTCATAAATTAGAAGTAGTCTTACCTGTGTAATCTTGCTTAAACTATTATCAGTAGCAGCAGGAATCTACTTTCTCCTGTGAATTTGTTGTCGGATCATTCATACATTTTGTTCTGGATTACTATCTACCTCCACAACTGATAATCCTGTAAAACGATCAGTCTTGCTGAGAGTGATTGTTGTTACTTTTACATTTTATATTTTTACAACAACACTTTGTACGACATTTCATGGGAAACAACTCAAACCCTAGATACATGAAGGAAGGGTTTTTTTCCATTTTAATACTTTTGTTTTTTTAAGTTGTTGGACTTTATGATCATTCAAATCCTTTTGTTAAACAGCCTTAAAATTTACTTTGGCGAAAACTAGGTCTTCCTTCAAAATAAGGGCTTTTAAGCCCTTTGTGGTATTCTTCCATAGAAACTGGAATTCTTCATTATCTTTCTCATTTCAGATACAAGCCACACACAAGCAAAGAGAACTGGCTAACAAATCATGGGAAAATTTCTTGGCTAGAACATCAAATGCTAAAACTCTAAAGGTAGGATTTTTGAAATATTACAGTATCCACAACCAATAGCTAACTCTGGCAGACATTTTCGGGAATAAATATTTATTCACCTCTTTCTGTAAAATGCTAACACTATTAGATCCTCATATGCAATTTTGGATGATAACAAAAAATATGAATTTTTACAGTTGCTGAAGGTGCCACTCTGGGTTTTATTTGATTTAGCAGCAGAAAGCAAAAATGGTGATTCTTGGCTTGCATAAAGGAGGTGATAGTTAGCCAGAAATGAGTTTCTACTTTCCATTCTGTTCCATAGGAAGCAGAGTGAAAAACAGAAAAAATTATTGTCCACATTATTCTCTCCCCTAAGGATGTTTCCCCTCCATGACCACTAAAAGAAACATTATATTCAAGTTTACATGGATTTGGAATAAACACCTGTTTGGAAGCTGCTTCAGCTATAAACTATAAGCTAAAACATTTATAATGGTAATTGTTCACATGAAATATGTTGGAAGCACCATGGATTTCCCAAATCTCATTACTTTTATCCACTTTTTCCATTAACACTTTGAAAAGACTTTTACATAATGTTATAATTCTTCCTCTAAATATGCAGTTGCTAAATGTTATGTTAGTCTGTGAAAATAGTGGAACCATGTTAAGATAGCAAAACCAAAGCTAAGAACACGCTTATTCCAAGTTCCATGTCTCCCTGTTCTCACTGAAGGTTCTTCCCAACTTTATTTATAAAATATGCTCATAACTACCTGTACTTTTAAGGAATAGATAATGAAAATCAGCCCTTTCTGAGCAGATCATTGGTTACCTTGAATTGCGCCTGTTCTTGTGCCTCAACTATTAAGCTTGAATATAACTGCAACAAGGTATATCATTTATATTATAAATGCTTGAAACATTTAAGTGTACTAAATATTTAATTTATGTGAAATAATTGGAGAAACATGCATCATCTGATGTAAATTCAATAGCTTATTCAATTATGCATTTAAAGTTGAACTAGGACTTGCTTTATTCCTTGGGATATGACCAGGACTTCGGGAAATCTTAGTGATGTTTTTAGGTGACTAGTGTCTTTTGCTAATAACTGTCTTGTTAGCTTAAATGAGTAAATGCCAATTCCAGTGCTAACTAATAAAAAAAAGAGTAAGTCAGACACAATCAAATGTAATTTGTACAGTTAAGTATCACAGTTACTACAATATTATTAACTTTAACAGCAATATTATTTTCTTTCTAATTTAAAATCTTCAGAAAGCAAAAAGACTTCAGGAAAAAGCCATAGAATCCTCTAGATACAGTGAGCGACCACCAAATGCAATATTGCACCAGACAGATATTAAAGGCCTTAACACAACGGTAAGATGGTTTTCCTCCGTTACTTTTCTTAGTAGATACTGAATTTAGTCCCCAGACTGTTATTTCCATGGAGTTTGATTTCATAATTTTTATTTTTGCTGTTCAAATTCCATATAGTTAAGGCAGATGTGTCTGTAAAGTACCTCCACCCTTGTCTAGTGCTGCTTAGACCAGGCCCAGCCCTCCGGGATCCTCTAGAAACCACTGCAAGCACTAGTCAGATTAGTTCTCCGCCCCCTTTGACAGAAGATGTGCCGAAGGTCTCTGCCGTATCCCTGTGTTCCTGGTGTCCTCTTGTAGGTGTAATTCAGCCCTGATTGTGAAGCCAATAAGCAGGAGAAGTAGAATTCAGACCCATTTGCCTGGCTCCAGAGCCCTTATCTTTCCAACGTCATGCTGCCTCCTAGTTACTTATATGTACTTTTCGTGTCTTTGCCAAAGTACTAAGCTCAAGGATGAATGAGTTTTTCTCCCATTGAAAAATTTTATAAATTGACTTGTAGACATTTGCCTTTTGCTTTTTTAGGTGCCCTCCGGTCGGGTGGTAGCTGTGGAAAGCACTCCTGCCCGATTAGTGGGAGGACCTCTGGCCGACACAGACATTGCTCTCAAAAAACTTCCCATTCGAGGAGGAGCCTTACAAAGAGTGAAAGCAGTAAAAGTTGTGGGTGACCCAAAGAAGAGCATTCCTGCATAAATAGTGCTGTCTAGGGAAGTTTTGAAATAAATTCTGCTTCTAATTTTTTAGTTAACTATATCTTTATGTAAAATGTAAAGCAAATATTTTAGAATATTTTAGTAAAATACTATTGAAAATAAAAGCAAGCAAATACAATTTATTTTTATTGAAAATATTAACACAGAGCATCAGAAAGATTGTCACCAGTTTTTTTGGAAAGATGGCTGATTGTCTCAACCGAAACTGTACAACATATTGTCTCAGTTAAGGCTCTTTTGGTTACATCTGAACTATTCCAACTGATTTAAGCCAAAGAGAGAAAATACAAAAAAAACTCTTATAGTCTCTGTAGCTATCAGATCTACAAGGAATTAAGACTACAGGTGTTGTTAGATCTAGGGGCTGAAACTCTTAGTCTTCTCCTCCCCTGGAAGCTCCTGGATTATTCTCTCCCAGGTTGATATCCAGCGGAGAGGAGTGCACGCCTGTCCCTCAACTGTCCTGCAACTGCCCCTGCATTTCGGGACCCCTGACCGGCTACATGCCCGTTCCTTCCTGCGCCATTCACCATGACTCTGGCCAGATCTGAGTACCACTCGCTCCCAGAGCCAGAAGCAGGCCAACCCACCCAAAGCATGTGGATGGAGTGGAGCAGGGGTTCAGGATATTGTTCTCATGAGTACATATAAATACTGGGCAGCAAAAACATTAGCAACAAATATGTTAGTCAAAGTACAATGTTATTTTGTTTTAAAAAGCAAATGTTAGCTATGAGATAATAAAATTAAAAAACAGATGGCTTTACTTTTAGTATATAAATATGCAAAGCAAACTCTATGCTACTTTCTCTTCTTTAATGGGGAAGGAAAAGGAAGAGTGGGAGAAGTGTCTTCCCTCCTTTCACAGTGGAGGTATCCTGCCAAGGAGTAGGAAGTAGATGCGCTGTTGCTGGATGTAGAATAGTACCTGCATTATAAGTACCCGTTATGAGGCTTCCATAGCCTTTCTCTTTCCCCGTGAAACCCTTCCTCCACCGGGAAATCCCAAAGTTGAGTTCATATCCAGGGCTGGGAGAAAAAAAGAACCTGTTTTCTCAGACAGGAAGACATCCTGGAATTTGTCTAGATTCCAGGCCCATGGGCACACTCAGCGGTATCCTGGTACCTGAAGAACTGGCTCTTAAGGGGGCAGGAGCCCTCATTGGTAGTGTTTGCCAGTGTGCACTCCACCAAGCTGCCAGTATGATGCTACTCAGTGCAGAGTTGGGAAGACCTTCCTAGAATCCACTTTCATTATCAGATACGAGAGGGCTCCAGCATCCCACTAGGCCAATCTTATTTTATTCTAACTTTTTTAATTTAAGATTTTATTTATTTTTAGAGAGATCAGAAGGGAGGAAGACACAGAGGGAGAAAAACATTGATCGGTTGCCTGTTGCATGTCCTTAACTGAGAACCTGAGCCACACCAACCAGGGCCAATTTTTTTAAATTGTATTTATTGATTTTAGACAGAGAAAGAGAAAGATCAACATCAATTTGTTGTTCTATCCATTCATGCATTCACTGGTTGACCCCTGTATGTGCCCTGACTGGGGTTTTAACCCACAGCCTTGGAGTAACAGGGACAGTGCTTTAACCAGCTGCCTGGCCAGGGCTGGACCCGTCTTTTACTGTCTCCTTCCTTCATCTCCACTCCTGCCCCCGACTCGCATTCCTCCAGGAATTTTCCTCTGTCCTCATCTGTGGGATGGTAACATCTGCAATGAAGGACAAAATTACAGCCATTGTTACTGTTTTAATTAAAATGAGTTGTGAGTTCACCTCTGGCCAGCAGCCTCGCACCCTGGCCCAGATACCCATTCTTGTGTCCCACCAGAGCAGGTTATATGTGTCAGCTTATTTGTGTGCTTTTTCCCTCCTGAATCCCTTTTTCTGTTACCACCACCCACAAGACATTAGAAGACATAATTTGTTCTTCCTCTTCACAGGAAGCCCTGAGCACAAAGATTCCAGCTAAAGGGGAGTCACTGCGACACAAGAATGGATGTGGGTAGGAACATGCAATGATGAGATGCCCATACCAAAACACCACATTCCCCTCAGATGCATCTCATGTGATACTTGTCCATGGCCAAGAACCATGAATCTTTGCCCCGTTTTGTAAACAATAAGCTTCTTCCCCAGACTCTAAGCTCCATAAGGACAAGGCAGGAACCATATCTCATTCATTATTGTAACCAGTACCTCAGTAAATTAATTACTGAGTCGGTGTGATGGTGGCTTGAGCTCTGCAAGTGCAGCAGAGTCCTGAGCTCAGAGAAAATTCAGTTAACAGAATACTATACAGGTAATGCTACGCTCGGACAGGTTAAAGTAGTCCAAATGTATTTACTTCATAATGGTGATAGACTTCCTCTAAAATGATGAGGCATAAATACAACTACATTAATAAAGCATGTGTAGAAATAGAATCAGTATCACTTGGTTGAATATCATTTTTTGAATATCATTTTTTAATAATGACCTGGTAGCTCCAGATTAATTAGGACTGACTACAGTCAAAATACTGTGTGATGGCCTTGGCCAGTGTGGCTCAGTTGGTTGGAGCATCATCCTGTACACTGAAGGGTCCCAGGTTCAATTCCCAGTCATAGCACATACCTAGGTTGCCTATGAGAGGCAACCAATCAAAGTTTCTCTCTCTCTCTTCCCTCCCTCTTTCTCTCTCAATCTCTTTCTTCCCCCTTTTTTCTTTCTAAAAGCAAAGAAAAAAAATGTTCTCTAGTGAGGATTAAAAAAACCCAACTCTGTGATGTCGGTGCACCTTTCCCCTGTCATGTAGATCTCAACCTCTCAGGAAAAACAGGGCAGGTCATTACCTAGCAGCCACTTAACCGCTGAGTAAGTGTGGGTGGGTGGAGGGTAGCAGTGTTTAATCCGGACTCTTGCACTTGGTAGCCGGACTGTACCCAAGTGTGCCTATTATAATTGCAGGAAGTGAATGACTCAGTCTGTCTGATAATATCACTAAGTCTCCAGGGCTTGCCTCACATCCCGAGCGCCCACCCCACTCCCGACCCACAGAGGACGTACTGCCTCGCCTATCCAGCCTGACCGGGAGCTGCAATGTGTACTCCCTATGAGTCAGCCAAGAGAAGATTTCAAGTGGAAGCTTTCGCTAACTAAATGGAAAGAAAGTGAAAAGGATAAAACTAATGGAGTTTAGTGAGCAGAGACGCAAGCAGCTTCAACACCTGTCAGCAATGAGGTTTTTCTCATTCCTCGGTTGAACTCTGTTAGCCAGGGATTGCCTATAACCAGTGAGTAACAACTTCATGCTTCTGGTCTCAGTCCGCCTTCTGCAGCACAAGGTACATGTCATACAGGGAAAAACTAAGGTGTTCACCCTAAGACTGTTCAGGGTAAATGTGCAGTTTTCTGGACTATGAACTGGCCAGCCCCTCCTGAAGTGCTACAGTCTGTTACCCCTCTACACTGTGCCCAGCAGAGCCGAAGACTTCCGGGTGTAGCCAGACTCGTGGAAGGTAGTGTAATGAAACCAGTTCCGCTCATCTTTACATACTTTCTGCCTACACAGCCTGAGTTTCATTAGCAATCAAGTTTCATGATTGCTCTTATTTAGTTTATAGTCAAGGAAAACGTCAAAGATGCTTTCTGTGAAAGAAAAAAAGCCACTCCTGACCCAGAAACTGGCCTGGTGGTCCTATCAAGTCAAAATTTGGTAGACCCAGTGCCCAGATCTTATTTCTAACAATATCCTCCAATAAAAGAAGCCAGGGCTTCTTGGAGAAATGGCTGAAGCTGGAGTAATTTGAGCAACAAAATAATGTAGCATTGGATTATAACCCACAGTATAAATAAATATCCATAAACATCTCTATATAAATAATGATGAAAGAGAAAGAAGGGAGGGAAGCAAGAAGAGAAGGAAGGGAGAGAAACAGACAAATCCCCCATGCAAAGAATTCCAAGTAATTTCTGTAGACATCCCCTCCTCCAGGCGGTGGAACACCCCCTTAAGTGTGGGTTATGCTTAGTGACTTCCAAAGAATACAGTATGAAAGAGATGGGAAAGTAACTTTACAGCAGAGGAACCTGTGGGACATTCATTTAGCCATGTTCACATTGTCACTGATAAGTGTATACAAAGTTTACCTTTGTATAAAACATTGAGAGAAGTTCTTTACCTCTGTGGTTTTCATCCGAAACAATCTATAACCCTAAACATAATCATAAGAGAAACATCAAGCAAACCCAAATTGAGGAACATTCTGCAAAATCGTCAAGATCACCAAGTACATCATCCTAGAGCCTAAGGAGATGTGACAGCTCCGTGGGATTGTGGTGTCCTGGGTGGGGTCCTAGAACAGATAGGGAAGAACCGTGAAATCCAAATAAAGTATGAAATTTGGTTCACAATAGAATACTGTTGGTTCATTAGTTATGACAAAGATACCAACTAACATAATAATAGGGAAAATGGGTGAGGAGTGTAGAAGAACTCTGTACTATCAACTTTCCTGAAAAACTAAAACTATTCTGAAATATTTGAAGGGAAAAAGGAAACATTCTATAGGAAGAGCAGAGGAGCTTTAGGTACAGACACTCAATTACTGTCCATTTTGTCACCTTGTAAAGAAATATTGGGGAACAATTTTTAGATGTTGTGCTGCCTGTTCTTTCTCCTCGGCCTTAAGCCCTCTGGAAGGTAACTGTCCGGAAGCTGAGCTGTATGGGCCCAGTGCACACGCCGGCTGTGAAGGAGACTGAGTGTCTGCCATAATATCACGGTCTGAGCTGGTCGGGGAGGGTTTGGTTTGGTTTTCATTGATCTCTTGACTGATCTAATGAAATGATTTTGAATAGGGCAAAGGAATACTTTCCCCCCTTCAACCCTATTTTGGTCACCATTTCTCTTTTCTTAACTTATATTTTGATATCATGTAACTGCTTTTGAGCTAGTTGTATTTCCTACTGCACCACAGTCCCATTGCCCTGACAGCTCTGTGAGTCGGTTGTTCAGGATTTGTACCTCCAACCTCAATTTTTGTTAGGTGAAGGAACGAATGAATGATGGAATAACTAAATTGTTCTATACAGAAATGACATGATTTGGAGCAAAAACTTGGGAGAGTTTAATAGAACATGATATGTAAAAGGCTTAAGATGAATTGCTCTAAAACTAGAATGCTTTTTTTGGCAAGTGTCCTTATTTTTAATATTTTTAATAATCCAATAGAACATGTAAATTCAATTAGGAGAAGGAAACTAATTATCATTAACTTATGTTGGAAGGCTAACAGTTCATAACTTGGTATAATTTTAAAGTCAATATGATGTATAAGATACCTCATAAAATGGGTTGCAGTTATACTCCATTGGCTGTTCTTTAAAAAACGTGTCACCTTTGCATTTTAAGTAGAGTTTTCTTTAAAGCTGCTTTACAAAGATGTCTCCTAAGTAAAAAAATATTAACAAATTATCTGAAAAGATGCGAATGATTACTCAATAGCCATAAAGCAATTACACATCAACAAAAATACAATATTTGTCAATATTGAAGACTTAGAAATAACAATTTTGATAAATACTACAGGAAATAGTTGACCTCATAAATACTGACAGCTAAACATTCAGTTGGTGCCATCTTGCTTGAAATATTTTCTGTGTTCTCTCTTAGATGTAAAAGTCATGCTTTGTAAAATCCAGTCCTATACGGTGACAGAGGAGAAATTGTTAATTTTTATTCTAACACGACTCTTAAGATTCTCTTCTTTTAAATAACCCTATTGAAAAAACCAATTTCAAAAAGCTAAATACATGGCCAATGTTTAACAATTTCTTCAACAAATGTAATATGAATAATTACAGTGTTAAATGGCTGTTTTATTAACTTTGTGGGAGAAAATAAGACAATAATTTTATGGATCTATCAAAATGTATGAGACTCCAAGATCATATAGAATCAAGCATTTGTATATCAGAGCTCCCATGGCATCTACATCATATAAAATCAGTAAAAATGAAAGTTAAAGCTGATCATATTAAGGAAAAATACCTCAAGTTTGCTAGCTTGTTGGATAAATGTAAAAAATCAAAATGATTAAATATTTAATTTTTAAGAAAACCAAACTGCTATTCTCTTAAGCATACATTTAAATTACTCCTGTTATCTTCTGTGGGAAATTATACCTGAGAGGCTTCGCCCATCCTCTGCCCCTTCCATGAGATCTTGAGAGCAAGCAGTCGACATAAATGTTCCGGAAATCCTGAGCTGTGCTTAAGAAGACATTATACTGTCTAGGCCACTGGGATTTTTGCAAGAACAACATGAAATTACATAAAGCATCCACATTGTGCTCTATCTTGAGTTCCCTGAGATCTACCAGTGTCAAAGAGCAAGTGTCCCAGCGCTGGCGGTCCAGGTCTTCCCTGACTCCTGGGCTGATGCTGGCAAGCACTCCCTTTTGAAATTCACAATCTGCATTCATCAGACAGGTCAGCATCATGCACCCCAGTGGTAGGCAGAACCATCTCCTTGTGGCAAAATCCATATTCTATGCAGAAAAAAATGTATTTTTAATTTAAAAAGACTATTCAATTACTCAACGATCTCTTTAAACCCCCCAAATTACAAGTAATACATATTTGTTTTTGATCCAGCCAAATTTATCCTACAATGTATCTGCTTATTTCCCTCGGTTGCCAACTCTCAGACCATCCTTTGAAAGGATATTACAGTTGCAATTTGTTTAACAACATTCTGATAAACAGTCTTCAGGAGCCACTGAAATCCAGCTCAAGTGAAGATGCTATAGATACACAGGGTCTGGCACAAATAATGCCCCATTTGTATTACAAACTCCTTTATTACAAAATCATAAGCATTTAATTCTGTGACATAGAAATGCCATATGACATTGTAGGTGAAATGTTTGAGTAAAACTGTAAATTATTACACCCGCATACGATTACCCTACCAATGACACTCAGGCAGGCCTTACTTCATTGTGCACCTTTAGAGCTGGAGGAAACCTTAAAAACCATGTACTCCAACCTTCTCCTTTTACAGATTAGAAAATTCTCAGCGACGTGGCTCAGGAAGTTCTCAGGTCTCCTGTCTCCCTGGCCAAGTCTCCTACCCCAGTTTTCAACTGAGTGGATCAAAATGCAGCCCATTCTGTACGTAACCTTTGGAAAAAAGCTTATCCAAATGGCGTTGGACACTTAAGCACCATTTTAAGTTTCAAAGTTACTGATACTGAAAGTTTTTCACTTTTATTCATTGAAAGGTATTTGTTATGTATTGATGCGCCGTGGGTCCCTGGCTTCTCTTGGGTTGTTCAGGAACTGGGTGGAGATTAACACGCAAGGAGACAATAAAGATGATATAAGCTAATGCGGCATGTTGCAGGGCCAATGATACTCAGCAAAATCTTGGCATTTTCTAATGACTCTTTGCACAAGTTTCCTTGCCAACTGATCGATTGTTCAGTAAGTCAGCCTAAAAGCACCTTAGGTGGAAGTGAAGGACTGCCACACAGCACCTGTTTACAGGCTGGCGCTGGAAACGTCCCTGACTCAAGCTTGACAGCAGGTGAAGACAGAGCTAGAAGACAGGACTCACCTCCTTCCCCCTATACCGCCGTCTGCCACCTCCCCCCAAAAAATTAGAATAAAGAGACTAGTCAAACGAAACGAATTTAAATTAGGTTATTAAGGTCGTTGCACGTAGTCGAAAATTGTGTATCCAAAAGGGAGATACTGGTTAGGACGGGAGAATTTTTTTTCCCTGGTAACTTTCAGGTGACGCTCCCAGACCAGCGTCCTCCTCCTGGGTGGAGTCACCTGGACGCAGAAAAGAAAGCCCGAGCGCCAGTGAAGTACTTCTCGCCTGCCGCCAAAGCGCGCGTCCGGGCGCGAAGTCCTGCCTGCGCTGCACTCAACTAGGGAACGCGGGCTGCTCCTGCCTGGGAGGGACAAGAAGTTTCAGCGCGGGCTTGGGACGACCTCCGGCCCTCTAAGCCCTCTTGTCCAGCCGAACCCACCACGTGAGCAGCTAAAAGACGGGAAGCAACGCTCACCTGGCGCCTTGAGTGCACCCAGCTAAACTGCCTTGGCTGCGCCACGCTCCTGGCCGCGAGGCTCAGGTTCTCCAAAAGCGGCGCTGCGATTACTTCTCCGGCCGCGAGAGACTCCGAACTCAACCCCCATCGTAAGAACCGCCCTCCTTTTCTAGGGACCAAGTGAGGGGACAGAGAGTGAGTGGATGCGCTCCCGGGGCCTCGCCCTCAATTGCGCCCCCCGCCCCGCCCCCAGCCCAGAAACCTCGCTTCCCGCACCCCGCCTCTCCCGTTTGTTGCCGAGTTTCTTCAGATTATAGAGGCTCAGTGTCTTCCTCTCTCACCTTTTTTCCTTTGCCTCCTTAAAATGACCCATCAAGGCAGTGGTCTATACATACCCAAGCTATCACCTCCCTCTACCCACCCAGCCAACACGCGCCCTATTCTATCCAGAGAAAAACTTTGAAAATGTGTTGTTGAGCTGTATGAGTTCTTAATATATTTGGAGTATTCGCACCTTATGGAAGGTATCATTTATAAATATATACTCCCATTTGGTCGGTTGCTTTTTTGTTTTGTTGATTTCTTTAAGATGATTAATAAAAATAATGCATGGCTTGAGAAACATGTTAGCTTAGGACAGGGTTTGTTTTGAATGTAAATTAGATGGATTAGTTAACCTACTGTTAAATCTAAACTTCTACATGAATTTATCATATCTATTTTAAAATATATTGTGTTCTTTTGAATTTAACCGCCGTATTTCACAATGAGATACCACCACCTTACACTTGTCAGAATGGCTATTATTAATAAGACAAGAAATAATAAGTGTTGGAAAGAATGTGGAATAAAGGGAACCCGTGTACACTGCTGGTGGAATGTAAATTGGTGCAGACACTCTGGAAAGTATGGAGTTTGGAGTTTCCTCAAGAAATTAACAATAGGGTTAGATCACCTAACCCAGAAATCTCTTTCGGGCATCTGGCCCCCAAAATCTAACACACTTATTTGTAGAGATAGATGTACCCCATGTTCATTGCAGCATTATTCACAGTAGCCAAGACAGGAAACAACCTAAGTGTCCTTCGAAGGATGATTAGATAAGGAACATGTGGAACACATGCTCCATAGAATGTACTCAGCCTTAAAAAATGATGAAAAACTGCCCCCTGCAACAACACGGGTGGATCCTGAGGGTATCAGCTAAACTGAAACAAGTCAGATGAAGAATGGTAAGAACCATATGATTTCACTCAGTGTGGGATCTAAAACCAAAAGCAACAAACAAACAACCACAGGCACACACAACAGTAGGGTGGTTATCGGAGGGGAAATGATAGGAGACCAGGCTGTGGACGGTGAGCATACAAATACACAAATGGTGTGTTATAGAATTGTATGCCTAGAACTTACATTGGATCAGCCAAAAAGTTTGTTTTTTCCCATAAGATGCCTCCAGTAGTGCTCAGTTGTCTTGAACTTTATTCGGAACAATTTTGTTAGATTGTTTTGTGACAGCTGTCATATCAGTGTGCATTTTTAAAAACTTATCAAAATTGGTGAATCGTGTGTAGCCATTTTAATAATGAAGATGGAAGAAATATGACAACATTTTCAGCATATTATCTCAAGAAATATAAAAATACAACTGAAACACAGAAAAAGAATTGTGCAGTGTATAGAGAAGGTGCTGTGACTGATCAAATGTGTCAAATGTGGCTTGCAAAGTTTTGTGCTGGAGATTTCTCTCTGGATGGTGCTCTATGGTTGGGCAGACTAGAAGTCGATAGCAATCAAATCGAGACATTAATTGAGAATAATCAACGTCATACCATGCAGGACATAGCCAACATACTCAAAATATGCGCAGCAATAAAGTTATCGGTGAAAATGAAAAATCTCTTATATTTTACAGAAAAAATAGGAACATTTTGGCCAACCTAATATGTTATTAACCAGTGTTACCCCCAATAAGTATAATTTTAAAAGAAAATATGATTGATAAACACACTCAAAGGAATGTTGTTCTTTAAATCATCTCCATCAGAAGCAATATATTCATCACTGTCTTGTCATGATCGTCCTGTCCCCAGTATATTCCCATTGTCCATAGACTTCATCTCTGAGTTTTACTATCACAGAGCATTCTCCTTTCTCTCTCACTTTAGGCCCTCATCCCATTTCAGAGTCCCTTCCACTAATTTAGCCTCACTTCTGCAATTAGGTGTTTATTTTCACTCCATTACTGGGCATGTATTTCTTTTCCTTTTTTTAAAGAGAACCATCAATGTATTGGTTGCCTCTCACATGCCCCCACTGGGGACCCAGCCAGCAACCCAGGCATGTGCCCTGACCGGGAATCAAACCAGCGATGACCCTTTGGTTTGCAGGCCGGCACTCAATCCACTGAGCCACACCAGCCAGGGCAATTTCTATTTGTCATCTACTACTACATATGTTGTCTTTTTTTCCATGAGAACATGTGATCTTCCGTATGACTTATAAAAATACTATCTTCATTTCCTGTTTTTCTAGTGACTGGCATATAATGCACTCAATGAATATTTTTAGCTGATTTCTACTTTATATTCATAATATTCTCTCCATTCAGGAAATTATATCAGCTTTCCACAAGACATTCCTAAGTCCTTCAGAACTCCAGGGTTCCTGTTTCAGGAACGGGAACAGGGATGGAGTGACGTTTCCCTCATTTAACGGGCCAGTGGCCTGTTCATCAGTCCCCATGCTTCCTGCCTTCCAATCACTTAGTGGAGTTCAGTCGTCCCTGTGTTTACCCCATTTATCCTTTGTACAGCATGCTTCTCCGGGAAACCCTGCGGTCATCACACCCCAGAGATGTCAGAAAAGCACTCCATACCCAGCAGGCACATGTTGGCTGACTAATACCGAGTATCTACAAAAAGAAGAAATTTTCAATTCATCGACTTCCTGACTCATTATAATGAAAGACATTCATTTAAGACATTCACCGTTGCAATTGCCTAGAGTAAACCTTAACAACAACTATCAAAGGGAGATCCAGTGACCTTGGGGAGAAAGCAGGAAAGGAAGACGAAATGAATGTGTGCCCTGCAGAGGAAGCAAGTTCTCCCTGACTGCTGACTAACCGAAGGGAAAGCAGACATTATGTATTTATTTGTCTTCAGGAGCGCAGGGAGGCGATGATGAACAAAATCGGGTCTCTGAGACGGGAGGAAAAGAATAGGTTCAGCAGAGAAGCTGAAGAAAGATCATTGCCCAAAACAACCATTAGTGTGAAATAATTTGTTGTCACTTTTTAAAAAAAAATAAGAAATAAAAGTTTATGTTAGGATTTAGTTTATCTTTAGTTTGGCTAAGACATAGAAAGTGGATGAACAGCATGTATTCTAGGATCCTCAGTATGCCTGTTTGCATTTAGTGGGATGCAGGGGTGGATTTCTTTAAGGATCACCATAGATACCCTTACATTTTCATAGGCTACTTAG